GAGTTAGTAACCAAGAAAACGGTAGGAGGAAGCAATGGAGAATTTTCTGCATAATTAGCCTAACACCAAAGGTTAACTAAGCAGTACTAGAACCACATGCGCAGGCTTAACCATGAAACATGTGATAGAATGCAGTGTATTATAATAACTTTTCTAAAGTAATGCTCGTATATGTGCTTTCTTGACTTCTTCCATATGCACCCAGTGGTCTGCTCGACCGACGGCTCTCGTAAAGAGAAAAGCTTACTGCTAATTCCGTCGGTCAATAATTTTGTCTCGAGCGATTCACCACCGAGTTACCACGGTTAAAGCAAAACCTTCTAGATAAATCTCAAATCATGTGAATACGCTACTCATATTCCGTTCCCCCTTTCTTTAGTTTCTGAGATAGCGTTGATAAAAAATAAAGGAAAAAAAGTTTCTGAGATAGCGTGGTCGCCGGTCTAAAAAAGAAAAAGAAAAAATGATTAGGCTATTAAAATACTCCATAATATTATTTTTATCGTTTACCGCTACTGAAGGAAAAGAGAAAGAAAGAAAGATGCATTAGAGACATCGATTTTATGTATGTACGGCAAAGAACAAAATAGAAGTGTAATTTCTCCATTTTTGTAAAATGAAATAATTATTTTTTAAAATTAATCATTTAGTTTTTTATCAATGTTAATCACATGCTTTGTTTCATAAAATATTATATTTTCTCATTAATTCAGTTAAAAAAATATAAAAACCATCTAATTGGTTTTAAAAATAGAAAAATTATTTATTTATTTATTTCTCAAAAAAAGGGACTAATTTATAATTTACTCACGAAATGATTGATCATGATGTCCAACGGTGCCCGAACAAAAAACAAAGAGACGATAGTGGAGTACAATCTAAAGCCTAGCAGGGACCAGCAGGGCTTGATTTGTAGTTGCAGAGGGACCAGCTCTGCAGGGTGCTTGCCAAACAAGGGTTAGTAATGTGCACCAACGTCTAGGACGTAGAGGGAAGATTCCTTCTCGTGAATTGTGATTTTCGATGCCCTTTTTTGTGTTTATAATTATTAAAAAAACCAAAATATAATCGGTTCGTGTCGGTGCAAAGGACACGAGAGTTTCATTTCATGTCTGACGATATACCATTCAAATACCAATACTTCTAATTCGTGCTATGAATGCATTTTTTGTCCCCTTTTTATTTTTGGACCACCACCACTGAAACGAGCTAGAGAAGTGATCATCACTCCATTCTTCAAGGATTTGGTTAAAAGATGAAATTGGAAAAGTTTCAAACTCCCTTTTTTTTTCGGTTTGGTTTTAGCAAGTACGCAAGGTTTAACTTTTCGCACATGTTTCTGTTGGTGCCTTTCAGAATTTGAATAAAAACCAACCAAAAACTTTAATCTATGCTGTCATTTCTTGCTATTTTCTACGATGGTATCTATCAGACATTTGATATGCTACGGATGTGGGGTTGGCTTGAAAAGTTGACGATTCCAAAACCACTATAAAAGTGGGATATACTGCGATTAATTATCTTAATTTGGATCTTCTTTCTTTTTTTTTTTTTCCTTTTTGTGCTCGTTAATGAACAATCTATTTAGAATTTTTTTTTCAAATATTAATTTTATAATTGATATTCTTGCAAAAATAAGTGGGGTGAAGTTTCTCGTCCGCATTTATCAATCCGTTGCCAACCAATTTGAGCCATTCAAGATTTTGATTTAATCATTTATTTTTCACAGACTTCGTCCAAGCGACAACTTTGATCGAAATAATTTAATTGGGTGATGATCCTTTGGTATGTTTAGATGGAAAAGGAATTTTGCTCTCAAGGCCCAATTTGGTAGCACCAAGAATACGTGCCCTTGGACGGGACATTCATCTATCCGTTCATAGCTAGGATGAAGCCTGTTTGCGTAAATTCGCCATTCGGCGTCAATTTCTTTCGGTGCCTGACAATTGACAAAAGGGAAGCACTGTTACTTTGGGAATCTCTTGCAGCCCAAGGTGGCTTCAAAATATCGAACTTTAATTACTTAATTGTAGAAGAGGATAGCCGGCGTGAAAATCCATGACTACCCGAATATGGATACAAAGACGAGCTTTATAATAGGCAGATTTTATAATTTTAAGCCTTTGATTAGTTTAAGTATTTAAGCAATCCACAAAAGAGGATGTTTTCTCATTAATAATATTTGTTCTGCTACACAACCATAGTTAGAATGGTTTGGCCAAGCTCGATGGATATAAAACTTGCCCTTTTCTCCTTGTTGAAATTAAGATCTGTTTTTATTTTTTCCTTAACTAAAATTCAAAAATCTTCATGGATAAAAAAAACAAATTAATTTGAGCGTCAAATATATAGTTTCAAAATGAAAATATATAAATGAAAATAACAACAACGAGATGTGGAGTAAATTATAAATTAGTTTCAAAATGAATTAGGTAGTTCCTCTTATTTTAAAAGTAATTAATTAATTCATAAATTAGGATTAATTATTATTGATTAAATTTTTTCTCTCATCAATCTTTCAATATTTTTTATTTATCAAGATAAAAAATTAAAATAAATTGAAAAAAATATATAAATGATTAAGTTACAAATAAATTTAAAAATATAAGAATTATTTAATTGATTTTTTGATTTTTCAAACTAGAATACTATTTAATTGGTTTTGAAAAACTAAAGGGACTAATTTATAATTTACTCAAAAGTATATATATGGCAAACCCTGAATAACACGCCAGGATCCACGAGAGGCACCACAAAGAAAAGGAAAAGGAACCAATGAATTGTAGTGATTATCAATAGCATCCTTTTCTCTTTTTTCCCCCGTTAGGCAAAGTTGGTTAATTCCGAAAGAACCAAACCTTGACCTCACACCTAGAAAAAAAACACCTTCCCAACCATCTACCACCATCCTTACACTTTTCATAATCATGGCAGATTTGTTACAATTTTTCAAATTTGAATAAAGGAAACTAACAAATAAAGCAAGTGTTAGACGGTAAAGGAAACCCACCATCAATTTGGCATTGCTTGATGGAGAACCTTTCAGAACATTTAAAGGTACGCTTCCTCTTCAATGAAGTCATTGCCTAAATTATGTTACTGGTTTCGCCATTGTTTTATCTTCATTCCAGGGAAAACAAATCATTTCAAAGACATTTGCGGAATTCAAGTTATAAAAACGATAAAATTAAATTAATTGGGGCCAACGAGGTGCTGGAAAAAGGAAAAAACTGCAATGTTCTCTTTTTTCTAGTTTCTGAAAGAATCCATCCGTCTTAGCACGCTGAGAGCCTGAGACTCTTGGGCTCAACCCCGTCAATCTCAATAAGGGTTGATGAAAATTTACTTCAGGATTAAATTAGGGAGAAAAAATATTCTGTCCGTGCCTAAAGCACACTAAATACGACAGAGATCGTGGTTTTGATGTATTTATATTATTGAGCCGGTGTACAAGAAAATTATTAAATTAACTACGTATGAAATCACTATGTTTACGTACTATAAAAACCTAATAATTAAAGAATTCAGAAATTTACGGTCATTTAGAATATCTTTAAAATCTGCAAAATCATTAGTTTAGTTTATTTATCTAAAATAAGTTTACCATTTTAAATTATTTTCATGATATATATATATTTTTTTGAGAAAAAATATATAGTTTTCTTTTTATCGTTCTTTAATCTCTCATAGACTGCATTTTAACGTTGGTTAGAAATATGGGCCAGCGGAAAAAGGCCATCAAGCATTAAGTGAAAACAAACTCAAAAACATTCTGGTGTTTATTCATCTTCACCGACTTTTATTACGGGGGCTTCATGGGCCATCCTTAGAAACCCATGATATCATTGAATTAGCAGCTGAATTCAATGTCTATGTCAAAATACAGTCTAGGTCCAATTCATGTTCAATCGCGCATAAGTCTAAAACAACTTTTTATAAGATCATATGAACGCATCATTGTTCTGAGGTCCAAGGGGTTCAATGAAAAGACAAATATAAAACTACTGGCCTCATCTAAAAGTATTTTGTTATATTTAAAAATTTCTTTCTTTTTTAAATTGAAAGGCTTCCCTTTTTTTTTTTTTTTTCTCCTCTGAAACAAGTTTGGAATGCCTGCTGGCCTTGGATCTGGTAATGGAGAGAACATTTCTCATCCCTAACATGAGAGGTATATAAGGTGAACATAAGTGTCTATCACTCCAGACCCAATTCATGTCCAACTACAAGCTTCAATACGATAGACGCTAATTTTTCATTAATATCTAATGTCGTTTTTTAGAAAAAAAGGTATCTGATTTCACTCATGTATGAGATCAGGAGGATCAAAGGAACAAAGAATCAAACGATAGGGCTAAAATCACAAATATAAAAGAAATATTTATATCCTTCATTGATATTATGGGGTGGACTCAAGAACCTTCAGTGTTTCGCGAAAAAGCAAACTGATGTATTATTGCAGAGGATGTCTACCGAGAAATTTCCCTGACATGTGTACTATTTGGTGACATCTCATGGTGACATTTGACCAGGGCAGTTTCCTTGAAATTCCATAACTCAAAAAGCAATGCAGGTTATTGATTAATTTTCTTATAATCAGTAAGTCTTTTAACTTTCTTTTCCAAATTCTGCAAATTCACACGAATAGATAGAGAAGAAGTAGTCATTTTGTGTCTTTAAATATTAAAGAAGCGTAAATTATGGTACTAGTTTCACCATTGTTTTCTCTTCATTCCAAGGAAAAAGCAGTTGCCGAGTCATGCACATGGACTATTTTATCAACGAGAGAGATAATAGGAAGCATCCTCATCAATGCCAAAAGAAAACTTCCAAGCAACTAGAAACTTTTTTAAAACGTTTTCAAGATTGACTTCAATCTTTTAGTCTTTTTTTTTTAATGCAAAACAATCACAAATAGCAGACCAAATAAATGTGATCAGATGCATACTAGACATAGGCACAAACTCATCTTCTGTTAAATTAAGTTCTCTATCTCTCCCCTGATGCCATCCTCATCCTTAATCGAATTCATTGACACTGCACTTTCTTGCACAAGCCCCTTTACGCTATCCTATGCAGACTCCAAGCAAAAATGGCTCATCAGAAAAGACCTCATTTCTCTAATCCAAGATTACCCCAGTTTCAACCTTTCAGCCGATACTTTCAATCACAATGATGGCACCACCGTGAACCTTCTACAAGCAACTGGCGATCTCCGAGTCGCCAATCATACTCCTCCTATACCACTCATAATTTGGCTCCATGAAAACTATCCTTGCATGCCTCCTATGGTCTTTGTTTTACCAAATTATATGTCTCCGATTCATCAAGACCACCCCTTTGTTGACTCTTCTGGTGCTACCACTTCTCCTTATCTACAAACTTGGGAATTCCCTAGATGCAACCTCACTGAACTTGTGCACAACCTTGTAAAAAATTTCACTCTTGACCATCCTTTCGCTTGCTCGCCGGCAGCTAGTTTCACTCACCCCTCTCTTGTCTCTAAGAGGGAGGCTCTTGATCGACTTTCAGTTAAGCTTCATTATGACACAATTGCCTTGCTAGCCCAAACTGAAGACGAAATGGAGGACTTACCTATTTTGCAAGAAGAATTGGTGAAAAGAGATGATATCATCACTAGCATGATTATCGGAGTTGAACATGAAAGAATGAACTTGAAAGATAGAGTAGAGAATTTGACGAACCAAGCTGATGTCCTGGTGAACTGGTTGAGAGTTAATGATCCAAAATCAGTTGTGACAAAGGCAGAGAATGAAATGGATGATGGTGACGCATTTGAAGCTGGTGATGAAGAGTCCAGGTTGTTGATAGATTACTTGGCAGCAGATAGGGCCTTAGAGGATTTAATATATGCGTTGGACAAGGCAGTTGAGCAAGGAGTGGTGAGCTTCGATGTATACATTAGGCAAGTAAGAGTATTTGCAAGAGAGCAGTTCTGTTACAAAGCTATGCTTGTAAAATTGAGAGGACCTAACATACTCCATTGTCTTTGAAAGAAATAAGCTTTGTATGGTGCCTAAGACACCATACAAAATAGTTAAATGCAAGTTGATCGTAATTAAAATCCTTTTATTTTTAAAAAATTAAAATAATCGATTAATTAAAAAAATATATATCAAGAACCTTCAAAATTTCAAACTTGAATAGGTACGAAAAAGAACAAATTTTGAAAAATTGTATCTTATTCTTGTAAATAATTAACAATTCTTACTTTATACAAAAAAAGAATTAAAAAATAAATTTAAATAATTTTTTTATTATTTTTAATAGATTCTCTTACAAAGCTATACTTGTAAAATTGAGAGGATCTAACCTACTCCATTGTCGTTGAAAGAAATAAGCTTTTTATGGTGCCTAAGACACTAACAATTGAGTGTTTAATAAATTAATTAGAGTAATAATGATTAAGATAAATGGTAGCATGGCTTAAATAGTTAAATGTAAGCTGATCCTAATTAAAATCCTCTTATTTTTAAAAATTTAAATAATCAATGACTTAAAAAAAAATATCAAGAACCCTGAAAATTTCAAACTTGAATAGGTACGAAAAAGAACAAATTTTGAAAAACTGTATCTTGTTCTTGTAAATAATTAACAATTCTTCCTTTATACAAAAAAAGAATTAAAAAATAATTTTTTATTATTTTTAATAGATTCTAAATTATTATTATTATATTTTTTTAGCTACCTCTTGTCAAAGTGAGACCATAAAATAATAATTATTAATTATTCCTCCATTATTTAAAATCTCTAACAAGGTTTTATGATAGTAATTTCCAGCTCCCTTAAATGGCACGATGGGGAGAACAAATTAAAGTGGCAACAATTAATAGGCTCAGATACGGCTCACTGTCGTTATCTATTCGGACGGTTTAAAGTCATATGGAAAGGGCCCATCAACGCTCTTCAGGTCGACGGGAAACCCATCAATCTCATCACTCCAGGGATTCATTTCTTCACGGTCAACTGCCCTCATCGCTTTTAGGATCAAGCTATTACACTTGAACCCAGACCCAAATGCAATCTGCCACACACGATCACCTTTCTTAATCCTGCTCTTAGCCTCAGCATATGCCAGCGCATACCACACTGAACTGGAAGAAGTGTTACCAAACCTGTACAAAGCCATTCTTGAAGCTTCCATGTCAATATTACTTAACTTTAGGCTTCTCTCCACTTGATCGAGCACTGGTTTGCCACCAACGTGAGTGATGACATGGTCGATGGCCTTCATGAAATCAGGGACGTAGGGTTTGATCTTTGCCGCAAGGAAATGCCTCGCAATGTAATTTGTGATAAATAGGATCTTTTCTGATATGGGAAGGACTAGGTGGCCTAGTGTGGTGAAGTTCGCTTCAATGGTCTTGGTTGCTACGGGAAGGAGATCTTTGGTGATTGTCACGCCCACGAGTCCTTCTGAGTCCTCCGCACGTGTAATGCAGTTGTAGGACGAGTCGGAAGCAATTGTGTTGGTTTGGACGGTGTGGATGAGCTGATACTTGGCCGCATGGCGATCCGATGGCTTGTTTGAGAGGAGAATGGCTGCCCCACCAACACGGAATAAGCAGTTGGTCACGATCATAGAACGATCCTCACCCCGGTAACGGTTTTCGGTGATGTTCTCGGTGCTGACCACCAGAGCATAGGGAATGCTGCGTACCTGACCAATTTCAAGAAAGATCGTGACAAACTGTCTAATGCTCTAATTAACCAATAGACAGGGTTGAGCCCAAAGAGTGCAATACAATTGTCCAAGACTCCACAAAGACAGATCCAGAGAATTTAAGTTAATTATGGCCTAGGGAAATAGATCAATTTACAATTTCAACTTCTCATAGTCCATGGCCCCTTGGATCCGTTCAAGATTCCTTAGGCTAGACTAGACTCCTTGAGTTAAGTTTGCATCTAGATGTCACAGTAATACCGGTAGCAATTGGATTTTGTGGTCAAACTAAGAAAAAAAAAAAAACTTTAAGAGAAAAATTTTATCAACAGAAAAAAAGATGAAACTATATATATGATGTCCAGAGAAAATTAAAAAAAGAACATGGGAATTTTCTTTCTTTAATATTTTTTTAGACTGATTGTCCCAAGTCTTTAATCTAATTTTAGGGCTAGATGTTCTTTTCTAAGCCATTACTAACTCTACATTGCTGTGAACAGTAAACAAAGCCAGCATGGAAAGAAGAATATCTTCAATTGAAAAAAAAAAAATCAATAAAAGATATATAGAATAGAAAAGTAAAAGTAAATTATAAATTAGTCTATGTGGTTTCTAAAAATAAATTAATTAGTCTCCCTCGTTTAAAAAAAACTATTCATTTATTTTTTATATTTTAATTATGTCAACAACTTAATCATTTTATCAATTTTTTCTTAGAGTAGTAATAATGTATTTTTTTTAGTTTTTTTTTTCAAATGACCTTTTTTATGCATTGTTTCGTCCATTTAAATGCATTTTCTCTCTTTCTCTCTCCTCTAGCATCAAAACAAATTTCAATTTTTCCTCTTATTTCTCATTTTATTAATTTTCACTCTATTTCTCTCTATTCAAGCACCAAAAAACTTATCCCTATATGTTAAAGAGTATATAATTAGTTAATTTGATAGATTTAGCAAAAATGTAATTGTAAATAATTAGTTTTTAAAGTGAGGAATACTGATTAATTCGTTTTTTCCCTAAACAAGAGGGACTAATTGATAATTTACTCGAAAATTGGCAAACCTGAAGCAACTGTTTGGCAAGGCCTATAGCTGCGAGTCCAGCACTGCAGCCCATCCCGCTAAGATTATAGCTCACCACCTTATCTCCTAGTTTATACCTGTTAACTACCATGGTAGAAAGAGATGGCACGACATCAAAAACACAACAATTTACTATCAATATCCCTATATCCTTACCCTCCACTCCAGTCTTTGCCAATAACTCGTCCACGGCACCAAATATCACCATCTCGCTCTCTTTCCTAGCCTCTTCAAGACATTCGTTTGGTGGGTCGCGTCTAAATGCCTCTGGCAAGTAGGTGGACGGACCTATCCCTGATTTCTCTAACAATTTTTCCATGAACGCAAAAGTTTCCTCTGACAAGTTGGTGTGTTGCCTAGCTCTTGCTATTGTGAATTCTTTGCTCCACATTTGTCTGGCTGGAGGCTTGTAACATGCAAAATCTAATAAGAAAACCTTGCGTGATGAAGGTTTTGACTTGAAGATTTTTGAGAGCACAAGTACTGTTAGGGTTAAGCAAAGAAGTACTGGCACAAAGGGACCAAGGTGGTGGACGATGAACTTTGGAAGATCATTTGATGTTATGGTGATTCTAAACATGGTGTGAGATCAGTGCAAAGTGTTATTTTCTGGTCTAACTTGGATTTGTTTCTTATTAACAAGAAAGATATATGCACGAGTAAATTATAAGAATTGAAGTGGTGTGGGTGTTTGGTTTATATATATATAGCAGTCATAAGTGGTGTACAAGTTACAGAATGCATGCCATATGGCCAGTGGTCAAGGTGAGCCAATTAAGCTGTTCATGAACATGGATTTTTTTTTCTTTTTTGCTCATGCGTTACCCCGTTCAATACCAAAAACTGAAAATAATAACAACTGACTAATTAATATCCCATCCTTGGGACCACCGTCCTGGGTTTTTCATTAGGCAAGGAAATGTTACATAAGGTAGTCTTAACAAAAGAAAAGGAAACCAAAACGACGTGCACATGAGGTATGGACTACAGGATGAAAGAAGTGGATCAATAATTCAGACACGGATGCAATCTTGATTAATTTTTTTAGTCCTTCACCAATTCGTCAAGCTATTCAATTTAATTATAATAATATAATAGAAAGGGAATTAATTAAATGATAATGATGAACTAATTACCATGGAAGATTTGAAATTGTAGCTTACTTCGCGAGGTTTGATTTTTCAACAGTATATCACTAGCAGGGTTAGCATCTTCATTTCTCGCTACTGAACAGCAGTGGCACTTCCTTTCTAAAATCTTGCTTGATGCTTGGCTTTCAACTTTAAGCTTTTGGTATCTATTTTTAGCTCAAATAAAAGGAGTTAGAGAACGTCACTAGACTGGCCTTGGGTTTCAATTTTCTGTGCTCGTTTGGGAAAACAGAAATAAATGGGTGGCCTGCATGCAGTGCTTAGCTATTAGCCTATTAATAGCCTCCCAACTCTCAACTACCGCCTTTCTAAAATCTTGCTTGATGCTTGGCATTCAGCTTTAAACTTTTAGTATCTGTTTCAAACACAAATAGAAGGAGTTACAGAACAACACTAGTCGACTGGCCTTGGGCTTCAATTTTCTTTTCTCATTTGGGAAAGCAGAATTAAATGGGTGGGCTTGCATGCAGTGCATAGCTATTACCCTATTAGTTGCCTCCCAACTCTCAACCACCAACTCGTCTGTAATGTTTTCATGATGCTATAGCTTTAATTTCTTGTGATCAATCTCACTTCTTTGAATGCTAGCTAATTTAACTAAAACATTCACTTTTGACACGATTTTTATACTTTAAATCCTAATTTAAAATTTGTTTTCATAAATAATTTAAGGTAAAAATGAGTTCAAAAAACTTAAAATTATAAGTGTGTTTGGCAAAAATAATTTATAACATTTTTTTTTAAATAAAAAACATAATATAAGTTAGAATTCATAAGTTAAAGTAAAAAAAAATTAGATTTTGATTAAATTGAAATTTTAATTCAATTTTGTAACAAACTTTTGATTTAAATTAAAAGTTATTTCTAACTAAATATACTTATATTTTTTAATTAAAAAAAAAACTTAAATTAATTTGTAAAAATTATACCAAATATAACTTTAGATTTGTTGGAAAAATGTTTAATCATGTTCATACTTGTCATATGTAAGCTAATTCGACCATCTTCATTGTGCTTTGTTGATATTATATTAGGGTTGCTTCGTGGAGAGAGAATGTCTATTTTTTTTTTTGTCTATTTTTTTTTTAAAAAAAATTGGTTTACATCAGGTGGTGATGAATTGGTAATACACTAGTGGGTTCCTCTCGAAGAAGATGACATTAAACGATTTGCCATTTAGATTAAAATCAATAAGAATAATTAAAAATATAAAATTAAAGGAGATGTGTGAAAGATACCGATCATTTTAATGGAAGATATCTACTTTTAAAGAATGCGAGATCGATTTTTAAATAAAATTTAACCATTTATTTAATTTATCAAAATTTGAAAATATAAATTCTTTAATTCAAATTTGAAGTACGAGCACTTGCACGAAGAAAATGATACAAGACTCGGTTTCGTAGTAAACTCAAATAAATTTACACAAATAAAAAAAAATGTCAAGAACAGATATATAAAGAATGGAAAGAATATATATAGATACCCTTCTTCTTTTTATGGATGAAATTGCTAGTAAAATCAGTCAAGATTATAATGAAAGTTCTTTCATAGATAACAAAATCAAACAAATTTCAAAATAAAATGTTTAAAAATATATAAATTTAAAGTCTTGAATCTAAAAATTTTTAAATCAAAATTTTGTGTTGTTTTATTGTTTAAAATGCGTTTTGAAGTTAGTTAGTGTGTTTAGGAGGTCGAGAGAAGTGGTTTCCATGAAATTTTTTTGATGAAAAAACGAAACAAAAATACGAGTTTCATTGAAATCCAGCGACATGCCTAGGAACGAAGCTTTGGTCGAAAAGAAGACCTTAGAGAAACGACGCATCCATCGCATGCTTGGGGTGCAACCCAGCCCAACGGTGTTAGGGCTTGACTCCAAGCCCAAGTCTACATGTTTTATTATTATTGTTGTTGTTGTTGGATAAAAAAATATTATACAATAACCAATTTATAAAAAATAAAATCACTTTCATACTTTCGCACCCCCTGGATTTTATTGGTGGATATTAAGGTTTCAACCTGTCCAATGCAAGGTGGAAAAGTTCAAAGTTCAAACATTAGCAAGAAACGTCATTAATTAAATAAATTATACCACAACACGTACGCTAGTAAGGTTCTTACATCTTCCTTCTACAACGCACCCATTCCTGCAATACAACTGCAAGAAAACCCACAAAAGCTGAAAGCTAGTTTTACTTCACAATTAGATGAAAATCTAGTTTTACTTGAACCCAATTACATTTTTATTTTTGTTTAAAGACCCTTGAAGAATCTGTGCAGGTTTGATTTTTTTTTAAAAAAGGAATTTGTTCAGAATTACTTTTATTTTGACGAATTGTTGACGGAACCACGGTAGGAACCTTTTATTTCTTTAAAATATTATTAAAGTTGTATTTAGTATTTAGACGAATATTTGCTTCTTACCGAGGGCACAAATCCTCTGCTTTACACCGCAAAACAGTTTCGCTGCACTTCTCCTTTGTAGATGCGAAATCTACTTCCATGTGTTTCCACGATTCGAAACGTACAGCCATCTCCACGGTCTCTCTCTTAAGATCCCATTCCTTCTTCGTAAAAGAATCCACTTTCGACTTTGTCATCTCTTGCATAACCTCTGTTCTTTTTACAGTTTTTAAGCAGTAACATAAAAACGAACAGGTCCTTGACTTTGCCGTTGCACTTGGAATATAAAGGGACAACGATCTCCAGCAATTTTAAATTATGAAGATTTCTTTTTGGATTTTGTTTTACTGGCTTCTTCTTTGCATTTTCGCATCTGGGTCTCTCGCAATTGACGATTTTAACCGAGCGTAAGTGATTTCCATAATGTTGCAACTGCCCATGCTAATTTCGTGCATCTATCTATTAGATTTGTACTTAACTAGTTTAGCGTTCCTGATAATTCTCGTGCAAATTGTTCTATAAAGTTATAATTTTGTAATGCATGGAAATGATCCCTGGTAATAAATATATCACACGTCCGTAGTTGTTGCCTATACTAATTTAGTTTGATGTACTGTAAAGCTTGTGTCTTTTGGAGCTTTGCGCATACTTTTTCAGCATATCATCTCTCTGGAGGGACATGTTAATGCGTCTTAAGTTAAACTATTATTACGTATGTAGTGAGTGATGAATTTGATGAGCTAAAACAATTTGATTACTTTGTTTCTGTTGGCTAGAAAAGATGCCCTTTAGGTTTGGAAATTTCCTAGTTTAGGACATTTGGTGTCAGCAGGTTTAATTTGAACTATGAAAGGAGACAAAATTGGTGATACACATGGAAGGACGCCTATTCCATAGTTAAGATAGATATTGAACCGATCCTGTTGAATTTTGGAGGATTTTTTTTTTTTTTGGCAGGAGAGTACGTGGGACTTTAGGTTCTCATCACTGCACCCATGAGTGTGTTATGTTCAATGAATGGCAAATGTTCCAGAAATTGAAGATTGTCAAATGTAGTCAATGGCGTTGCAAATGTTGTTGCCAGTTATGTGGTTTTCTTACGAAGTGTAGCTGGCAATGTTTTTATTTAAGTTTAGATCAACATACAAACAGTTTGCGCAGAAATATATGCTTTGCTTCGTCCTCTTTCTACAATTTGGGAGCTCTTTTTATCCTCACTCAGTAACCTTGGTCTTGTGTGTTATAGTTATCAGGCTGTTCATATTCTGTCAAATTTGTTCGTTTGTTGTTTGTGTCCTTCGTTTCACATTGACTCTGCCTCACTCTGATTGAAATTTGGTAGTTGTCTGACCATTTGGTCTTTTTTTTTTTGGCATTTTGAATAAGATAAAGATATTTTTCATCACATCTATTGCGTATTGCTGTTTCTGTATACACAGGTTTCCTATCGTTGAACCTGATCCTGGTCATACGAAACTTCGTCTTTCAAATGAAGGCTTGGAAGCCATCAAACGAATAACAAACCCAGTTGCTGCTGTTGCTGTATGCCCAACATACTTCTTAACTCCTAAGATTTGCAGAGAAAAAAGAAAAAAGAAAAAACTTTGTTGTTTTCCAATATTCTTGCAAAGTGTAACTGTCATGCAATGGTGTTTAAAATGATTTTTTTTTTATTAAGCTTTAAATACAATAAGTTTGCATGAAGTGCTTAATTAGCATAACTGCAATTGTTCGATCCCTGTAGCTAATGGTACACTTACAATTTGGTATATTAGTAATCTGCATGGCCATGTCAAGAAAATTTTGCTCTCTTTTATTTATCCCATTTTACAGTTTATGTCTATGGTTGTATAATCAGGTAATTGGTCCATATCGCTCGGGAAAATCTTTTCTGCTCAATCAGCTTCTTTCCCTTTCTTGTTATGAAGGTGCTAATCTAACCTCAATCAGTGTATCGTTTAATATATTTTTTTAATGGGACTTCCTGTACGAAATCATGTTAAATTGGCAGAACTAACATTTCCTTCTTCAGGTTTTGGTGTTGGACATATGCGTGACACAAAGACCAAAGGTAATGTGAATTTGAGACTGAAAAAAGCGCAACTCATTGTTTTGATGTCATCTATATTGTGTCTTTTATTTCTTGCAGGGATTTGGGTCTGGGGAACCCCGATTGAATTGGATATCAATGGAGTAAAAACTTCTGTGTTTTACCTTGATACTGAGGGATTTGAAAGTATTGGGAAGTCAAATGTCTATGATGATCGGTAAATTCCAAGTCGTCATGTAATCTTGGAATTGCAATTGGAGATTGAAGGTTTATTTATATGTTTCTTTTTTGACATTTGCTTTTGCAGGATTTTTGCTCTGGCAACTGTTTTGAGTTCTGTGCTTATTTATAATCTGCCTGAGACGGTTAGTTATTTGGTCTCCAAACTTCTAGTTTTGAATATATATGAAAGGATCTTGAGGTGTCACTCCAGGAAAGTATGCTTTGCTAGATGTGTAGGATATTTTAGAACTTTCCATGGCTATGTAGCTCTGGTTTTATGGTGTACTTGAGTTTCCCTTTGAAACTAAATTAAGGAGAACTAGTCAACTATGAGAATGTGAACTTGCTTTTGTCAAAACTAAACCAACCATGGGAAGAAAACATGAGACTCTAGACCTTGTTTTACAGGTGCCAGGATAATCAGATCTGATTGTATACCTCTGGTGCCCTGTCTGAGCTTCTAGTTTGTAAATTAGGTTATTGGCCATTTTTCTTTAGTCCAGCCTCATTTTAGTTGGTTCTTCTGATAATATTTGTATATTTATCCTGTTGTGCTCTCAGATCCGAGAAGCTGACATATCTCGTCTGTCATTTGCTGTTGAGCTTGCTGAAGAATTTTATGGAAGGTCTGCAGTTTTGTCATCTGAGTTTGACACATTAGATCATATCACAATAAATTCTGGTGAATTTTTTGTATTTCTTTTTTACACCCCATATGCTACTAATGCCGACTTGTTTTGCTGGTTGGATGTATGGAGAATAGAGTGAAGGTAATCTATAAGCTGCTGTGGCTGTATTCTTCTTGTATGTTATTTTTTAATTAAATCCTTGGTGTTGGCTTGTATTTGAATTGTCTTTTTTTTTCACAGGGCCAAGATGTTGCATTTGAACCTGCAAAACTTTTGTGGCTTATCCAGCGTGATTTTCTACGTAAGCCCATAAAAGCCTGTCTTTAAAGTTGTTTTTTGAAGTAGGAATACATCGCTGCCTGGTTCGTTCTATAACATGTAGCAGTTCATATAGCAATTAGACTGGGTCTTCTAGTTAGCTGATTTCACTGAATGCTGTTTCAGATATGCCAAAGCATTATCCTTTTTAGGTTTTATATTGTTTGTGTTAGTTTCTACTTATGCCCACCAGACCCTCATTTGAGTTCCTTAACATAATGGTATAAAATAGAGAATGAGCTTCTGATTTGGTAAATGGTTTAGGTTGGTTACTTATATTGCTTATCATGTTCTAACTGCTTCATATTATGCTTTGAGTGGGAACTCATGTCATTTTTGGTGTACTCAGAAGGGAAGTCAGTGCAAGAAATGGTGAATGAAGCCCTCCAACATGTTCCTAACAGTGATGGTTAGTTTTTTCTCCTAGTCATAGAAGTGTAGAAGATATGTGTGATTCACTGTATAATTACAACATTGTTTCACCAAACTTTTGAATCACATGTTCTTGTTCTAATGCAGGGAACAGAAATATTGATCAGGTATTCATTTGAAATGATCTCACTTTAAGTCTTGATTATTATAAAAAAAAGGGTATGATCCTGAGACAAGAAGTTCATTCTTTCTATTTATCAGATTAATCAGATCCGAGACTCGTTGGCTATTATGGGTGATAACAGCACTGCCTTTAGCTTGCCACAAGTATGTGTTTGCCTTGTGCTTCTTGCCTTATCCAATAATTTCTTCAAGTCCTACCTCCTTCATATTACTTTCCATTGCCAGGTTCCTAGAATTGTACTACCACCTATATAATTTAAAGCGTATGTGATTCATCTAAAGTACCTTTTCATACTTACGTGATCATGTGCATTGGATGTGTGCTAGATACATGTTGGGCGAAGCCCATATCCATTGGACATGTCTGGAGAAGAGCCGAGTTATGCTTCTCTTCCTCCTCCTTGGATGTGTGTGTGTTTATTTGCAGGGATGGGGTTGGGGAAGTTGCTAGCCTGCCCATTTTTTGAGCTGGATAGCTTGGTGTCCATTTTATGATGGGAAAATTTACTACTCTATTCATCAAAGTTCTTGCATACATCTGCATTTATTTATTTATTTTTTTTTTGGGGGGGAGGGGGGGGGTGTTGGGTGTTTTCTTGCCATAGCATGTTACATTAATGTTTCAGTTGTATACACATGCTTTTAGTTAATATCTCTACCTTGGGTGATCCGATTGTGCTGAATTTCAATCAACAGCCTCATCTTGAGCGAACGAAGCTTTGTGACTTGAAGGATGGTGAGCTTGATCCTGTATATGTTAAGAAGAGGGAGCAGTTAAAAGAACTTGTTGCTACCATCATTCGTCCAAAGATTGTGCAGGGTAAACCTTTAAATGGAAAGGAGTTTGTAGCTTTCTTGGAGCAGGTAACTTTGTTTATATCATGCCTTCTGGTTGGAGGTGCTGTTAAGTTCCTAGATTTTTTCTTTCTTTCTTTTCATTCCTTTTTTTTTTTTTTTTGGACTTTTTTTTGTGGTTTGTTGGGAGGGGGGGGGGTTGGGGTTGTTGAAATCGAGTTTATTAACAATGCGATGATTTTCCCACATTAGTGGACATAGTTGCTGTGCGGTAAGCAATTTTTGGTTCTCTGCTGCACCCTTGATAGTTTGTAGTGCATTTGTGTTGCTAAATGCAACCCCCCTAAAAAAAAAAAAAAAAAAGTCAAAAAGAGATGATCCGGATGAGACTACTGAATGATTTGATACACCAACTAAGTGTGAAAAAATGACCTGTTAACTTCTGAGCTGATAGTGTGCCGCCTGTTCCTTCCATAAGAGATGTGCTTGATGGTGTCAATTGGCTGATGTCCTTGGCGCATGGCATGGCATCATGGTCTTGATGACTATAATGCAGATGAAAAAGAAACCATGGACCTATTGCTTAAAAATCACCTATAATTGAATGATATGTCTTGATGGCTTTTAAAAGTTATGGCCCATCCATACCAACTTCTTTGGATTTTCAGCCCTGTCAGAGAATGGCAGTGCAAAATAAAAATGTATGGGTGAAAATTTTGCATGTGATATATTCATCAATTTTTATCTTGCAATTTTCAGATACTTGAAGCCTTGAATAAAGGGGAGATCCCATCAACAGGCTCTCTGGTGGAGGTTTTCAATAAGGGTATTCTTGAGCGATGTTTGAAGCTATACAATGAAGTGATGGTGAAGTTACACTTACCACTTCCTGAGAAATCTCTGCAAAATGTCCATGAAAACTCTAAAGGGGAAGCAATGAAAGCTTTTGATGAACAACATTTTGGCCGTCACCATGCAAAGAGATCTGTCTCGCAACTGGATGTGGAAATAGAGAAGGTATTGATTGTTTTATCAGCAGCATTAAATGTCTTCTCTCCTTAAATTAACTTATGAATATGTACATTTACTTTGAACTGATACTCATGGATGATAAATTGTATTTTATATTCCAAAATCTATTGACAATTTAAATGAATAAGAAAAAGATGGCTTTGCTTATGGTTTCCTTGTAAGTAGTTCTTGATTGAAGTGTTGAATTCTCATGTTGTCTTTTTTGGAAAAAAACACAAACGGAATTCAAGGCCCTGAACCCCATCTTCACACCATAAACTTGATGAAATCTTTAGCGACTGCTTTATCTTGCTGGTATAACTGACTATCTCACAGCTGGCCCACTTCTATTGAGTCAACTGCATTGGACAGGCTGCATGTGCTCAGTGACTCATTTAACAACCACCCATATTTGGAGTCCGAGGTTATAGTACAACAACAAATAAATGTGTATTTTTGCAGCCGCCTCCTTAGGACTCCAAAACTTACAATATTTTGTAAGGCTATCGGGTTTTTAATATTTTTATTTCTCCTGAAGTACTTTTCTGTGGAAATTCTGTCCAGGTATATAAGAATTTTGTATTGGCAAATGAATACCAATCAGCAAAGCTGTGTGAGGCACTGTATTCTAGATGTGAGGACAGAATGGACCAGCTTCAGGTTCTCAGACTTCCTTCCATGGCAAAATTCAATGCAGGCTTCCTGCAATGCAACCAAAGTTTTGAGCGGGAGTGTGTTGGACCTTCAAAGGCAAATTATGAGAGTCGCATGATGAAGGTTTGGCACGCTCTTTGAATTTATTTTAATAGCGTTTCAGTGATTGCTCTGCTTCTCTTATCTAGAGATATGGATGCTCTAGTTGGCGAGTATCTTGAAAGGGGAAATCAACAATGCTGTATGGTCATAAGTTTCTGATTCTTAAAGATAAAATCTATGTCATAATTATCAATATGGAGACTTCATGAACTAAATAAAGTTGTTGCCAATGAGAGGGACATGGAAATCTGAAATAGTGTTAGTGTTGACATTAGGAAGTATCCTTGTAATTGCTTCGCAATAGAAGACTTATTCTCACTATGAATCATGAAATATATTTTTTAATTGGTTTATCAATAAGTTTTTTCAATATATTTCCATGTAGTGTACAAATGTGTGCTTTCCTTTTCACTTCCATTTACTGACTAGTGCGTTGTGAACGTATGGTGTGGATCCACAGATGATGGGGAAATCAAAATCTTTATTTATAAAGGAATACAACCACAGGCTCTTCAATTGGTTGGTGGCCTTCTCCCTTGCCATGGTGGTAGTGGGCCGGTTTATTATAAAGTTTATTTTGATAGAAATCGGTGCGTGGATCCTTTTTATCTTCTTAGAGACCTACACAAGGATGTTTTGGTCTGCGGAATCTCTCTATTACAACCCAGTTTGGCATTTTATTGTCGCAACCTGGGAAACAGTTGTTTACAGCCCTATCCTTGATGTGGACAGGTAATGTAATATTTCCTCTATTGCACCTAAGAAAAAAATGAAAATCCATTATATCTAAAAGGGCTTGATGTTATTTTACTCTTATGCATTTAGAACTATAGTGTCATTTTATTTTCTACTAGGTGTGTGGTTTTGCACTTTGATCAGAAGCAATAAAAAATACATATTTCGTTAGCTAATAGTTTAAAGCTGTGCTGTGCTAATCACGTGTTCTTTTTAGAGCACAATGAGCACTTGCGAACAAAAACAAAAACAAGAAAACAAAGAAAAATGTTTTATCGTTTAAATGTATTTTAAATGATATCTTATATCAATCAGTATGCTAGAGATAAACAAGCATATTAAGAAGAATGTCGTCCATAAGCTGGATTTCATGAGCACGGTCCCATTTTTCCTCATTTTCTTTTGTTGATCTGTTTTGGTTTGGTGCAGATGGGTAATTCCACTTGGCTTGGTGATAGCAATTTTGGTAGTATATTGGCGATGTTACGGTAAAAGGAAACATGGCTCCCGTTTGCTGTTACCTTTGTACAATAATAATAAAGGGGGATCTAGTAGGCAGAGAACAGACTAAAGGAGTTGTTATCATGTGCCTTATAAACATTTGGCATGCTCTTTGCTCTAATCATTTTGGGTGAGCTTTTCATTTTTCAAATACAAAGCCCACCATTTTTCTTTTCTTTTTGATTCCTGAAAAAATTTGATCTCAAGATGTTTACGAGGATGATGATGAGATGAGTTCTGCCTGGTCGCACTAGTATCGTTTCTAACCCCGTCGTTTCCTGGCCATTTACTTTGTTGTATTCTGTTCGTTACTTCAAATGTCCGTTATCTCACAGGTTTAGTTTTTCTATACAAATGTTGGAAAAGTATAGTCCTATGAATCATAGTTGGTCATTTCAATTAGATCTGCATTATTGACTGTACAGCCACTGTATAATTCGTTTGCTTTGAAAAGAAGAAAAGCTGGTATTCTATTTTCATTCTGAATGGGCTGTTATATTCCAGAACTATAAGATCAGACTACTCATCGAAGCAAATTATCTAATTGCACAGAATGTTTTCTGGACACCGAAAGTTCATTTATAGTGTACGGTTCAAGAATTTTGTCTTTGCTGGCATGCTGTGAAATCTTTTGGTTGTCAAACTTTCACTGTCGGGCCATGAGTTATTGTAGTTAAAACAGTCATGGGCAAATTATTGTTATTATAAGAAAACCTAAACAATCTAGGATAAATAAACAGTGAAATACTGTTTGTTTACCTCAGATCACCATTCTAAATGAACAGTAGATTACAGTTAGTTCGCCTGGATCACTGTTTATTGGTGGTAGTTTTAGTAATTTATGATAGTGGTATTTTGGTGATTTTTGGATAATTCTAGGCCATTCATTTGCAAATTTTACATTTTATTCCATTTTGCTCCCTCGTTTTCTTAAAAAAATATTTTTGGTTCCTATGCTTTGAGCTTTTTTTCATTTTGATCTCTTATGTTTTCAAAATATATTGTCCTTCGTATTTTTAAAAATGTTATTGGCTTCTCATGTTATATATATATATATATATTAAAGAGATTAATTTTAAAAATAATCTCTTTAATTTGCCATTTTTTATAGAAATTTTTATCAAAATAATTTTAAATTTTTTATGAAATTTTATTTGTTAATAAATATGATTTTTCTTGTGTATGGATTTTTGTATATGTTTTTTTTAATAATTAATTAAATAATAGAATTCACATTTTTTTTGGCTTATTCTTATATTATCAAAAAATTTTAGAATAAATTTTTTACTTTTTTTTATTGCATTCTATTAATTTTAATATATTTTTCACAATTTTTTTTAAAAAATATTTTTCAATTTACACTGCACATTTTGGTCTAATGAGTATAGTCATAATTTATAAAAAAAATATCGATAGCATTGGTTTTATTGAAAATTAACTATATTTGTACACATAACGTTAATCATTTGCTGTTAATTAATTTTAATATTTTAAAATTAATTTGTTTCAAATAAAAAAATTAAAATATTATTTTAGAAGAATATATCTTTTTATACTAATATTGCTGATTGTCGTGAAAATAAATATATATAAATTAAATGTGCATATTTTTAAAAAAATTTAAAAAATATTTGTTAGTTGATTTTTATATAAGTTTTTATATTGATTATTGTTTTATTTTTTTGATGAATCTTGTGAAAAATATTAAAATGATTTTGAATTTTTTTATTAAATTTTTTATTTATATTATTATAGTTTTTTATTTAAAAATGAATTCATAACGTAAAATAAATCATATTTTTTAAACAAAAAAATATGTGAAAATATAAAGAAAATGAATGAAATACAAAATTTGATTAAAAATTATGAAATTTAATTTTTCATCTTTAATTTAATATAATTTAGTAGACTAACAACATAATTCAGATTATTAGACTGAAATAAATATTTTTAATGTGTAATGTGAGAAGCCAATTAGTGATGCTTAAGAGCACTGCGATTATTCAGATGTGATTTTACCCTTATGGAGGTCTTGAGCAATTGACTACGGGATTCTCACGATGTTGCAAGAAATGTGGTAATTCTATTTATTTTGTCACAACAATGCTTTAATATTCTTTATGGTAAAATTTACTGTACCAAGCGCCATGATGGTTATCATGGCCGCTCTTCATTTCATTCTTAGAACGATGCCCGATTCTTAAATTTTTTTTTTTTTAAAAAAAAAAAACGAAAAGATATTATCTATTTCAACTCATGAGAAGTTTACAATTCACAATAGTAAATTATAAATTAATCTCTCTAGTTTTCACTTTTGAGAAACAAATTAATTAATCGCTTTTGTTTTAAAAAATAATTAGCTAGTCCCTTCATTCATATTGCTGACCAAATTTAATTTAGTATTATATTATTTTAAAATTTTATTTTTTAATAAATATTTCTATGATGTTTATTTTTTATTTTTCTTTTTTTATATAAAACAAAATAAAATAGACATAAAGGATTAAAAATTTTATTTTTGAAATAATAGGAACTAATTAATTTGTGTATCAAACTAAAGGGATTAATTCATGATTTAATTCAATCTAGAAAGATGTCTAATTCTAAAAGAAGAAGATATCATTGTTTTGAATCAGTCAAGGTATCTCATGTTCAAAGAATTGGATTAATATTTGAATGTTTTGTCGAGCGTATAAAATGAAAATAATTACTCGAAGAGTTTTTTACATGCATAACAATTCAAATTTGAGACTATTTGTTTAAACGATTAAAACCCATTACACTCAAATCAATCCTTTTAGATACTTTATGCCACCAATCAAAGATTATTTCAACTGATTTCTTCTCCTATTTTCTCGGATTATTTAAGAAATACAAAACTAATCAATAAATTGTCATTGTCGTGTGGTTAATTCATTTGAAAAGATTTCTGAATATTATGAATCAATTTTACATCTTGAAAATGATTATAAGAAAAGTTGCTTTTTTGTGTTCTTTGTAGTGCATAGCATGATACTGCTCGGTCTTTTTTTTTAAAAAAAAACAATTGGAAATTTCATTAAAATGCAATAGCTGAATACGTCTCAACATACAAATTACACTAACTAAGATTTGATATAGAATTAACTACCCTAGTTAGAGCGATTTGATTCATATATCTCAAATGTTTCATAAAACATCGAATAACCTTTGACTCATAGGCTGTAGAGAGATGAGAGACTGCAACTGTATTGATGGAGTCGTGTGACCAGCAATGCTCCTAAAAAACTGTTGAAACTCAACAGTGCAGGACAGAATCAAGTGGACAAAATGAACCATGACAAAATAATAAACTTTCGATAAGCGAAAGGCAATCCAAACTCTCAACAAAAGAGAGACAATACAACACAATACTCTCAATAAACGAGAGATAATATAACATAATCAAACAAACAACAACCGAAATTGAAAGGCAGAAAAAATAAAAGAACCAAACAACTCAAAACCTAACCCCACGAAGACAGAGCAATTTGGAGCAGCCGCGACAGATGCGATGGTGGAAGGCCAGCGAGGTGGAGCTGACAAAAGCGACAGAGAAGGCAGGTAGCGACCACAACAGCGGAATTTGTCAAGGCGACCACAAAACCAAAAAAGCTCAAAATCTAAGAATAGATCTAAAAGATCTAGGATTATTGAATGAGAAATAAAAAAACAAGAAGAAAATAATACCTTTCTCTTTTTCTTTTTTCCTAACAGTAGAATATTTGTGGTGGGGGTGGGGGTGGGGGGGGGGGGGGGGGGAGGCAATTTCACAAAAATAGTTAAATTAAACAAACACACCCCTAACTTATCATGTTGGCCGTAATAATTTGATTACCCATCTTTTTTTATACAATAATTAGATTTCTCACCTTCAAATAAAACGGAGATTTCAAATGGATTATTTCACCAAAAATAAAGTTAAAAATGGATTATAGAAGGAGTGAGCACCATTATTTCAACTGAAAATGGATTATTTCAAGTTTCAACGTATACATGATATGGAGTTGTATATGATTCTTGAGAGGCCTGTACAAAATCCAAACTGTCAGGCTGAAAGGAAAACATGGTGCTGACCCAAAGCCCACCAATCACACGTCGCCGTTTTAATGAAACTCTTAAAACTGGACCTGGCACCTGTAACAGCGCCAAGTGTAGATTATTTCCTAACCGTATGTCTGAAACTCCAGGGGGCTCTCTCTCCGTCTGTATGCAGATGCGAAAGGGAAAAATATCCATAACTTCTTCACTGCAATCTTGAAACCCCAAATCATCAAACTTGAACTGAGTCAACTCATCTCGACTCAATGGATACTCACTCTCACTTAACAGCACCTAATCGCTCTCGCAGCTCCCAATCCCCGTCCCCTTCCCACTCGGCCTCGGCATCCGCAACCTCTTCCATCCACAAGCGAAAACTCGCCGCGGCTGCTGCGGCGTCCGACGACCACTTGCCTCCATTTGCTCCGGCTTCTCTCTCCGCCGACACTCGCGACGGAGCTCTGACCTCCAATGACGACCTTGAGAGCATCTCCGCTCGCGGCGCTGACTCCGATTCCGATGACGCTGAAGATTCCGACGCCGTCGTCGACGATGACGAGGACGACTTCGACAACGACTCCTCCATGAGAACTTTCACGGCAGCCCGTCTCGAGACCACTGCCGGTGTCTCCACTGCTGGCAGCAGCGGTCGAAACACGAAGATCAAGATGGAGAATGCGAATGTGAAGATGGAAAATTCTGATAGCGGGAAGGATGGTGGGCACACAGGGACTGGTGCCGTGGGGCCCGCTGCAGGGGGAGTTCTGGGCCAGGGATTGTGGTGAAGGAGGATTCTGTTAAAATATTTACGGAGAATTTGCAGACTAGTGGAGCTTATAGCGCGAGAGAAGAGAGTTTGAAAAGAGAGGTATGGTTTATAGTTTCTTTGAAATTCTTAATTAGTGTGTATCTTTCCAAGTTCATTCTTCTTGTACGTGGCCTTTTTAAAAAAAGAAAAAGAAACTTTGTGTGAAATATTTACAATGGGACTTGATATTGATTGATTTGGAACGTTTCAGGAGGAAGCAGGAAGACTCAAGTTTGTCTGTTATTCTAATGATGGTGTTGATGAGCATATGGTTTGGTACATAATCCTCTTTTTCTTAATATTGTTTTTTTTTTTTGCTGGATTCATACCTTTAATAATGAATATTCTTGTGCTATCTTTAATTGTTCATTTCTTGTTTGATGTGGTTTGTTTTATAAAGTGGAAAACTTCTCTATAAAATCTAGTGGTGGTGTTGATTTTAATTTTTTCCTTGGCCTTTTGTTTGTTAGGTTGATAGGATTGAAGAATATATTTGCGAGACAATTGCCTAACATGCCCAAGGAATATATTGTTCGACTTGTGATGGATAGGTAATTCAATGAAATTCTTTTAGAAGTGCATACATTAAGCAATTTTTTTTCCAAAGTGGGCAGAGATTAGATGACAAGAACCCCTTATTTGTTTTCCTTTTCGGGTAAGCTGAGAAAGCTGTGAAGGTAACTACTATCTACTCTACAGCCTGCATTAATATCAAGAACCAAAATTGGTTTATTAAAGATATGCTCATTTAGATATACAGCGTGTCCAGTACTGGAAATTAATATTTCTGCATTCCACTCCCCTATACATGCAATCACTAGAACTGCATATAAATGCGTATAAGCAGAAATTTATGCTCTTATGTGATGCCATTTTGGATAGTTGTGCTTGATACTTTATGTTAATGTCAAAACATTGTACTTCCATGTCCTTCAATACAGACATCCAGTGTTATTGTGTAATAATGATCACTCATTTGAGCCTGCAACTTGTAGGAAAGGGCCCGATACCTTTTTTTTTTTTTTTTCTTCCTGTTGTTTTTTTCTCCCAACTCTGCTTATGCTAGCTTAGGTTAGGATTGCCGATCCCAAGCCCTGATAGCGGAGGGTTACGGCAGGTTGACAGCCAGCATAAAATTGTCATTTCTATTATCAGAAGTATTCATGAATGTTTTTCAATTCAATCTGCAGAAGCCACAAATCTGTGATGGTTATTAGACGCAATCTGGTTGTTGGTGGAATCACATATCGTCCATATGTCAGGTTAGGTTCAAATTCATATTATTCATGTTGTTCTTTACTCATTCCAACTTCAAGTAAACTGTTGTGTTATTATAAATTTGTAGGTGGAGCAGAACCTTACATGCTTAATTAGGATACTTTCCCCTAAACTGTCTTGGTAAAAGACAAGGGCCATCTGTTATTTTTATCATTTTGTTAGCACTGTAACCATAATTTTGTAAGATGAATGAATGACATGTTCTTGTTAAGATGGTATAATGAGCAGCAGATGACTGGAGTTTGGTTTGTTCCAAGTGACCGTACTGCTAAGCTTAAACAATTGTATCTGGACTTTATATTTTTGTTATTTCCGTCATACTCTGCTGTAGCAAGAACCATGCATTACACGAAAGTACTATATTGCTCATTGTCATGATTTCATCATTGAAAACTTTTTTGTCTTAATGGTGTTGGTTATTCACTAACACTTTTTCCCTGCCTAACCATAGTCAGAGGTTTGGGGAGATAGCTTTTTGTGCAATCACTGCAGATGAACAAGTAAAAGGTTATGGCACGAGATTGATGAATCACTTAAAGCAGCACGCACGCGATGTTGATGGGCTAACACATTTTCTGACGTATGCTGACAATAATGCTGTTGGTTATTTTATCAAACAGGTCGGCTTTCTATTTCTGGCATTAGTCATTTACTTTGGTGATTTTATTGTTTGTTTCTGCATGGACTTGGAAGGTCCTGTTGATTTGTAAGATATGCCAGAAATCCTCCCAATGTATAATATTCTAACAGTATTTGCTTGAGATTCTTTGTTAGGAAGCTGAAGATGTGATTAGTCACAAATACTGCTTGTGCAATATCCTTTAGCGGTCTTTCTTCTTTTGGTCTAGGTTTTCTGCCAGTTTGCCTCTGGAAGATCTGCTGCAACTGTTTAGATAGTAGATGATTTCTAGTTAAACCTTCATCTTCAATGTAGATGCAGGATTAGATGATGTTGGTCTTTCTCTCAAGTTCTGTAATTTTCAAAATTCATTGTTTTGATGCTACGAACTGCTTATTTGTTAAATGTTACTATATCATCGTTCACTGCGATCTATGGAAACGGAATCTCATTCTTGATGTACTGCACATATTTTACTCAAATGTTACTTCCGACATTTTTGTTGCTATATCCTTCTGAAATATATTGGTTCACTTCTTACATTTTTTTATTTTATTAATGTGTAGGGTTTCACCAAAGAGATTTACTTGGAGAAAGATCGATGGCAAGGGTATTGTTAATTTACGAAGTCCAGTATTATTAAGATAATTGAAGGGGAGGGGGTTGGATAGCAGGGCTTCAAGTACAGTTCTGCTTTATATTTTATACTGGGAGAAAGAGAGGGTGGGCTAGTTAATGAATGAAGATAAGCTTGCATGAAGAAAACTGCAAGCTTATTGCACGTCTTCCTCCCCTCCTTGTTAGCCTGGTTGGGTGTATCTCATTCATTTAGTTATCACCATGCCTCTGCTTTTTTGTTCACTTATCAATTTGTATGAATTCCAGGTATATTAAAGACTATGATGGAGGTATCTTAATGGAGTGCAAAATTGATCAAAAACTTCCTTACACCGATTTATCAACCATGATCCGTCGTCAGAGACAGGTGAGATGATAATCTACTCTGTCAACTTTTTCTTCGTGTAATTTAGTTAGATCATAACGTTTGAATGTCAGTGTCTGGAAAATGGATCAAGATACAGGTCAAATAATCCATTTGAGTAGTATATCTTCTTTTTGTAATTGCTAAGCTTGTGGGGCCTTCTTTGATCAGTGTTATGTTTAAAGGAAGCAAGCTCAATTTGTTGGCTCTCATACAGAAGCTTTGTCAATTTCTATAATTTAACAATCAAGACACAGGGTTTAAGTTACATCTAAATCTGAATTATTGGATCAAGATTACAAGTCGATTTTGAGATCCAATGAAAGCCAGTAAGTTTTCATACAAGACTTCTGAACTGATGCACCAATTCTAGTAAGAGACCATTTCAACAAATTTTACCTGTAAATACTCCCAATCTTTCACTTTTATTTTCATCGATCCTGATAGGTTTTCTATTATAATTTTATCATATGCTCTTTACATCTTAACTTCGAAGATTTGATCATATGCCCTTGATAAATAGTGCTCTGTTTTTCTCTTCACTAAGCCGAAGCTTCTCGAGATGGAGTGAAAATGCATTTATAGTCTGTAATGAGTTGAATTTATCATAGTTATGTAGCCTATTCTTGAAACTTAGATCTTTCACCAATGTCTTTTAGGAGGTTCTGAAATCTAGAACTCATTGAGAGGAACACCAATAGTAACTATGTATTGTACCTTTCCACCCTGTTGGCTTCCTGTCAGACTTGCTGTGCTGCCAGCCTGCCATGGACCTTTTAAATTACTACTCTGCTTTAAATGTATCTTACATTACTTATTCAGTGTATGAGTTCAGAATTTATTATTGTGAAGTTTCTTCCTGCGCTTTCCAACCTAATCTTAGTAGATTTCTATACAGATATGCAGTAATCTTGTTTTTTGATGATGATAGGCAATTGATGAAAAGATAAGAGAGCTATCCAATTGTCATATTGTTTATCCTGGAATTGATTTTCAAAAGGTATGTGCCATCAGCAATCTGCTGGTATAACCTGATAGTTTGCTTTTCTAGATTTCATGTGATTTCTATCTAGCAGTACAGTTTAGTACTATGTTTGGATTAAGATTATATGGTGTAATCATTCTCATTCAGAAAGAAGCTGGTGTTCCCAAGAAGATCATCAAAGTCGAGGATATTCCTGGCTTGAGTAAGTTTTTAAAGCTGCATATTGACTTTATATTAACTTTTAACACCCTTTTGCCACACTTGGTACAGACCTTTTGAAAATTATATGATATTAACTATATATAATTGGAAGTCTGGAATACATTGTTAATGAGGTTCTTTTCAATGTGATAATAGGGGAGGCTGGGTGGACTCCTGATCAGTGGGGCCATTCACGGTTTAGAACATTAAATTCTTCTATGGATATTGCCACAAATCAAAAGCATTTGACTGCATTTATGCGCTCACTTTTAAAGGCAAGTCCCATAATAGTTTTCTTTTCTCTTATCTTTTTCATCTTGTTTTGAGAGTTTTTTCTTTGTAATGCACACGGTTTGGAAACAGATGCTGCAATTTCTGTCTCAATTGCAGCCAGCAATGTAACTTTCAGAAATCTTTAATGGTCACCATATTTAGTTGCAAAATGAACAGGGTACTGTGGCCATGACATGATTGCAAGGAAAATGCTCATGGCTGAAATGGCTGCTATTGAAACTTTGATATCCTCCTGTCAAGAATATATGTTGATTTGATTTGGATGCCTGTTTTTTGAAGTTGATTTGTTTTGTTATGTTAAGTTCAAAAGCTCAACTCAATGTGAAGGTTATTGAATTGCTGTGCCAAATTTATGTACTTTTCTGTTGGTAATAGTATTCAAATGATCAACAATGGAACAATCAACCACTTCTTTTTTTGCTAGAGATCAAAATTTGATAATCATGATTATGATCCCAAGGACTGGAACAGCGCAATGCTGCTTTTATCATATAAAACCCATCAAGCATATGAAAGAGCAGATATTTTAATTGCTTTCTTTTAATTGCTTTCTGCTCTTCTTGATGAACTGTAATCTACTAATTATTTTACATTTGCAAATCCATGCAAAAAGTGATTTTTCTGATATTGTTAATATTATTCGGATTATCACTTTTGCAAATCCTTTATGCATTGGATTTGCAATATTTTTTGCTCTTGTTTATGCATTGTCGTTTCTATTCTACATACTCAATGATTGAAAATCACTAGAACAGTGATTATCCAACCTCTGTCATAATTCCTTGTATTCTTACTGCGAGGATTTTGTGTTAGCAGTCAGTGCATGACCATGTTGATGCTTGGCCATTTAAGGAACCAGTCGATGCTCGTGATGTCCCTGATTATTATGACATCATCAAGGATCCCATGGGTAAGATATCGATTTCGTCTGTTTCATTCTGGCAACATTTTTCTTGCAATGATTCTCTGATTTACAAGCTTATATGCTGTTTAAATGAGACATGGTCAGTGTCCTCATACTTGTTATGCCATTAAAAATTTCTGGAAACATAGGCCACAACTGTTACAGACAATCGAAGTGCTAAAATTTCAGTTGATCTTGAAACTCAGTTACCAAGAAAGTCGGAAACTGTAATATTTTCCGTTAAAGTTTGTAGAACTCAGTTGAAGTCCCATTTTGGTGATTGTTGTCTGGTACTTAAGGTGATCAATATGGCACGTACATCTCTGCTTCTATCGTTTTGACAACATCGGATAATTGGTTTAGGTGTTTGAGTCTGTGTCTTTTGGAATTTACAGCATTTGGTGTGGAAAAACAATATCTTCTTATTCCTACTTGTTCTTATTGAAAATTATTTATGACCTTTTCTAATCGAGAATTTCACCAAAAAAAAAAAAAAAAGGCTTGTTCAAATTGGATTGCCTGTATGATTCTTTAATGAATATCCAATGCGCTGCAGATCTGAAGACGATGCTGAAAAGGGTAGAGTCAGAGCAATACTATGTCACGCTTGAGATGTTCATTGCTGATGTCAAGAGGATGTGTGCCAATGCACGGACATACAACTCACCTGATACCATTTATTATAAGTGTGCAACCAGGCATGCTCACACTCGTGCTCTCTGTTTCATTTTTTCTCCATTCCTGATTCCAACTTGATTATATCCATGTCCAATTATGCAGGCTGGAAGCCCATTTCCAAAGCAAAGTTCAATCAGGCATCCAATCTGGCACAAAAATTTTGCCTTAATGCGTTCAATTGTTGTGCATACTGGAATTCTGAGCAGACCAATGTTCACTAAATGCAGCCTACGCATCACATTAGACTGTAAAGAGCACCCTTGTGTGGGTTAGTTTTTGTATCTTATCATAGTGCGTTTGCTAAAACTTGGTCCACTTGACATCAGTCATGTCGTACAATTTATACCTCTGTCATGTCACATTTCTCGATTAAAACGTATGTTAGCATAATAATTGAGATTTATGTTGGAAATTCAGTCAATGAACCCGCTTCTCCTTGATCTCAACAAGGTTACAGTACTCATTTGGATTAATCAAATGGATGTGTCCGTTGATGCTAACCAATTTTGATGGTACTTTCAAATGCCACCTGGTTTGAGGAGATTGGCGGAGGAAATTTGGAAGAGTAGGTTTGCCTTTGGCAGGTAAGGTTCTTGAACTGCAAGAGATGGATTCACTATCGACCAAAGGAACCAATTATTTTTTGGAGCCATTGTTTGGATAGTCGTAAATGGATTCACAAGTTTGTATATCCATCAACTGTGAGCCTTTTGATGGTTCATTGTGGCTATTGTTGCTGTTTTTCAGTGATGACAATGGTGGTGGCGTGGTATCTCTTTGCTAGTATTCTGCATCACCCTATAATTTCTACCAAATATCCATCAACCTTGAAGATGAACCTTTTTTAACCCAAAGCCTCTGCCACTGTTTGTTACGAAGCCAGCTGCTGAATTGAAGAACTTGCAGCATCCATCAATGTCGCCTGAATCCAAAACTTGTGGGTAAACCAAATAAATTAAATTTGTAGCACGAGGATGCACAGCACCTACATGAGAAAATAAGTTTAACATCTTCATGAAATGTCTTCCATCTTGAAAATCGAACACCCAAGGATGATTGCATAACTCTAGTCCACTCCGCAAAATGAAGGTTTATGTGAAAGAATCAGTCAAGCGGGTCAGCACTCCACAACAATCAGTTCTGGAGGTTGGAACTCCAAGTTGGCTTGGTTACCCCTTGTAACATTTCAAAAGACATGAAAATTATATCTTCTGGAACGGCCCCTTGACAGAGATAATTGTAAGCTCTGTCCCTATTGACAACTAGTTTGGCCTAAACATGGCCCATGTGTAGATGAAAAAATTAAGTTACGATGATCTACTAGTTGAAAAGGCTTATTCTTTATAACTACGAACAAAAAAACCCAGTGTGTTTTGAAAGTCATGGAATTATTTGAAACGATGAATGGATCACGAGATAACCTTTGCAAGCCCCAGTTCCAAAAACTAGAGTGGAAGGGACAGCACCCAATTCATTTCTTTTTGTTATCCTTTGCAACCATGTGAGGAATTCCTGAATCATGCACAGGCAAAGCCCCAGCTGGACCAACAGTAGGACAAATCTGCTTTTGCACCTGTTGCACGGAAGGCATGACAGCCAGACTTTGCCCACCGGCTGTGAATTGCATAGAAGTCAATCCACCATTATTACTGGTTCCATTGTCAGTTTGTGGATTTGTGGGAAGAGGAACTAGCGTGTTGTTGGGGAAGCTGTTGTCTAGTCTTTGAAGATGTGGAGCAGCAGAGGTAATACCATGAACTGGCTGGTGAAAGAATTGGTGGGGATTTGTTTGCATAGGCACAGCAACATTTGTAGGTGCATCCACTCGGCCACCGACAAATGGCATCCCAGGGCTAGTCATGCTAGACCTTGCTAGAAGCATTGGGTTACAACCTGTCACTTGTTTAACTTGTTCTTCGGCCATCTTGACCTGGAAAGTTCATATAAAATAGCTACCCCAGATAAAGTTGGTAGATGTAAGGTAAAAAAAAAACATAGACAGAGTAAATCAAAGCCGCTCCTGGTAACTAATGTGATAAAGCTGTTCTAAGACTAGGACACCAATGCACTTTACACATGACTAACAAATTATGCGGCAACTAATAATAAAACTGGAAACAAAGCACATGCAAATCACATTGAAGCTCAAATTAATGATATTCTGACTTCGTAAATGTTGTTGCTGTGACTCAACCATATAGGAGGACGTACTCTGCCTGAAGCTTTACCTGATATGGTTTGTCACCACAGACATGCACAGGTATTTTTTTTTTTTTTGAGTGTGTGTGATCTATAGGGAGACAAAAGCTTCCATGATGTGATGTAAACACACAAATAAGCGCATGTGGACCCACAGGCACAATTAGTTTCTGTGAGACGTCCTATAATGCATATTTGATCATTTTACAAGGATTTCATTTTCTTAAACATCATGATGTTATTGCATGGAATCTGAAAGTAAATTACTAGGCAATTTCAAAGAAGCAAAGGAATCCTCAAAGCAACTAACAAAGTTAAAATATGTGAAGTAACAACTTACCTTTGCCCTTAATGTTTCAATATCAGCCTTCAAAATTCTGTTGTCAACAGCAGCATCATCCCGCTTCTGATTTACGTCAGTGAAGCGTGATAGCAGTGAAGAACGTTCATCCCTTAATTGACCAACCTATTGGATACCATACAAATAGACAAAGAATTTATTAAAGAATCATGATCTAAAAGGCAGATTAGGGCCACAGAAAAGCATTGGGCAACCTGTGTTTCAAGTTCACTCAGCTGTGCTTGTTTTCTTCTTCTAGAGCGTCTAGCTGACTCTCGATTCGACTGCATCCTGAGACATCATCAATATATCCACAGTGATTGGTGAAAGGCCCTTCCTTTTGAACACAATAATAATAGGATATAATAAACTTGCATAAAGTGAGAATTTGTTTATCCCAAAACTTGGAGACAGTCAGACAGACCCCATTTCCCACCCCAAAGCCCCCCAGGGGGCAGTTAGGTAAGGTTTAGTGAGGCCGTATCTGATTTTTACTAGGAGCATAGAAAATTATTATGCTCCCATCCTAAAACAATGCTTGATTTATTCACCCATAACATGAGTGCTAACATGTGAATCTCTCAGAATAATATTACCGGTAGAAATGCAAAATAAAAGGAAAAAATGGGAGGAATACGAGCAAAGAATACAAAGTTGCTAAGTTGTCTTTGGAACCTCTTAGACCAAGCAGGAATATTTATAAAAAAGAAGGTACCTCCTCATGCGTTTTGCATCATTAGGATCCCCATTTTCATTGGTTCCTGTGTCTCCTTCAAGGTCATCGTCATCTGAATCTTCTCTTGATGACCCACTGGTTGTTTGCCTGGCTTGGACCTCTTGTTTTCTCTGTGTAGTAGGTAAAGCTGGAATGCCAAGTGATCCACCATCTGCCCCAATTTGTCCCATTGAGATGCCATGACCAGTACCTACAATGGTTAAAAGTCAGAGAAGCCTTGAGTGTGGGAGTTAAAAAAAAAAAAAAGGTTAAAAGTCAGACATGACACTGTATGCGACCCAAATTTTGGGGAGTGAAGAGAAAAATTAAAGCATGAAAATCACAGTGAAAGCAATGCAAAAACTTGCAGCAATTAATATAGAAGACTTGGTGATAATTAGGTGAACAGTTAAGAATACAGAGGAACAAATAATGATCAGAAAGGAGATAAATAGGAGTATCACAACTTCGATCAACTTGTCTAATAAATGCACCTCATACAAATCAGGATTTCAGTGGATTCAATATAACGTGTGTTCTATGCTAGTTTCTGATCTTATGTAGTTTGCAAGGTACATTGGGCATTTTATGAATGAAGGAACTTAATTCCAACTACGTGCTTATCGTCTAAAGATGCATACCATATCCGCCTAAATATAACTAGCTAATCATCATGTCAGTTCAAATAGCGCAAACAACTTCTCACCCGTCAAACATATTACAATCTATTAGAATCCATAAGCGGCTTTTATACGGCATTCAATCAAGATTAAAAATATGATCTTTCAAAGGAATATTATTATCAGTTTTTGTTCAACAAGAAAGAAAGAAGAAAAGAATTACCAGTTGAGCAGGCTAACTAAAAAGCAAATTACAAATGTACAGAAGTGCAAGCAGCAATTGAGATTGAACAATTCAAGAAGTGGGCAAAACTCTTACGAAAAGCTTGTGTTTCCAATTGAGCATCTATAGCAGCTAGCCTTTGATCTTCCGGAACCGATGAAAAATCTTCTGGCTTTATAGCATTGGATTTCTGCATTTATTTAAAGAAATTTACAATCAACCACATGTGATGCATGCACACACAATTCAATCAGTATGCATATATTATATACCCTAGACATGGCCACGGCAGCACAAGCGAGATCAAGCTTCGACTTGAGAACAGCGCGGTAATCCTCTGAATCAATCGGAGCAGTTAGATTGCGATCCAACGTCTGCGGATGAGGATTTGGATTTGGATGATGGTGACGAATTGGATGCTTTGTGATCTCCACCACTTCATCCTCGCCGTTATCAGGAGGTATCGATGACGTGGACGAATGAGAAAGCGCCGAAGGAGCTGCGGTGTTGGTGTCGCTGGCGGGGGAGGATACGAAGGCCGGGGAGACTTCTTGTAGAAATTTCTCGAATGCCCATTCCGATTCACTTCTATGCATCGCCGGAGTTGTTGATTGTAGAAGCTGCGGAGGAGACAGCCAGAACGGGTCGGATAAATCGTCAACGGAGAATACAGTATTCATTGTTTGTTTGTTTTTTCTGCTGCTGATTCTTTCTCAAGAGAGATCTTTTGTACGCGTGAATTTTTCTCTCTTTTGCTTAGTCTTATGGCTAAATTATAAAATTCTGAGGGAAAAAAATAATTACCCTCGTAAACTAAAACATACTTAATTTTGCCCCTAAATGATATGATTTTTGAAATTTGCTCTCTTCTATTAGGATTTTGTTGAGAAATTGACAGAAAAATTCATAAAAATCCTGATAATTTCTATTATTTTTTCTATCAACTTGGAAAGATAAGTTTACTAATAAAAAAAAAATAGTTTTTCATAGACGTATATGTGTATGTGTGTTAATTTATATTTTGAGATTTACATATATTCATAATTGTTGTTATAGTTGAAATATTAAAATTAAAAAGATTTTTTTTATAGAAAATAATCAATATTGAATAGTTATATGTCTATTTGATTTTCTTATGTCATTCGAAACACAATTTTAGATTAAAACTAGAGAATTGTTGATGAATTTTCTATCGACAGATCGATGATTCCATCTTTTTTTTAGAGTTAATAGCTTGCTTGATAGTAAAAAAGATTTCAACCCAATATTATATTTTTATCCTAGTTGATCATGGTTCGACATTATAAGTATATTGTTATTTTCAATAATTAAATACTTTTATATGTAAATACTACGTATTTGATTCATCTATCAATCTTTTTTTTTTCCTTAAAAGTCATGGTCTCAATAAAAATACTAGTTTTTGCTATTTGTAAATCTACTTTATTTTCTCTTTGTAATCCATATTTTCATTCTCAATTAACATTTTCTCAAGCCTTTCTTGGGATATTTTATGCTTGTTCAAATGTCCTTTTATATATCGTGTTATATATTAAAAAAAAATCAATTTATGATATTTGACAAAGCATATAAGATAAAATCAGTGATATCTTCTTTTAAATTTTAATGAAAATAAAAAAAATCAAAAAAAGAAAAATAATGATCCTATTATATCTATATCATATACTAAAAAAAAATTTATTAAATTAAAGAATCAAAATGACAAAGAAAAAAAGCACGAGGATTAATTGGATTTTGTATCATTTCTTACGAACCAAGAAAAAGACGCTGAAAAAGATTATAAAAGACCATACAGTAAAAAGAGTAAGGAAATCTTAAGAAAAAAGGATAAATTCAAAAAATTAATACTGTTTGAGTATAAAATAAAAGATTTTTTTTAATTTAGAATAATATATTATTTTTTTGCTCAAGTTTAAGAGATATTTTAGAGTAAATTATAAATTAGTTCCTCTTAGTTTGAGAAATAAATTACTTAATCTGTCATTTTAAAAATTAATTGTTTAATTTTTATATTTATAATTCTATTTGCAACTTAGCCTTTTTTATTTTTTTAATTTATTTTGATTTTTTATTATAAAAATAAAAATATATGAAAATAAGATAAAATGATTTAAAAACTAAATAATAACTTAAAAAATAATTAATTTGTTTTTTCACGCTAGAGGGATTAATTTATAATTTATTCGGATGCTTTATAATTTAGCCTTATCTTACAGAGGCTTAGCGATGCAGGAAGGAAACCATCACATGCTTTTTTGGTAACGATGATATCTTTAGAGATCCCTATTGGCCATTGACAACTGCCACAGTGCCACGTGACAAAAGCAGAGAGGATTAATTTTTGTGCGTACGATGACGTTGTCACGTAAATTTGGCTGCTGTGGTGCAACGTGGACCGTACCTAACCTAACTTTATGCTGTATGTTTTGTGTTTGGTAGGTAGATGACGAATGAAGCCTAATTGCTAATTTTGTTTATTTATGGAAGGGATTGGGTGGAAAAATTGTGATGAAGATCTTGCCCTATTCTATTCTGAATAAGCATCTTAAATGAATGTATATCTACATTGTATACGTATAACAAATTGTTCATCATGCCTTCCCTTATAATATTTTTTTTATTGTATTTTTGTCAATATTTTGGAAATAATTTTTTAAAAAAATATTAAAGAGTGTTGCTAGCATTTTCTTATTATTATTATTTTTTTTTACATTTTTCAAAAAAAATGAGTTTTTTTTTTAAAAATACCAAACAATCAACTAGCTTTTTTTCTTTTTTTAATGGTCTTATTTGTTTTTGTGACTGCTCGGTACAAAGCAATGGCAGTAGAAAACCAGCCAGCACTGTAGCCGGGGCTAAAATGTTTAGTTGGGCTAGCTTAGGAGATCGCGTTTTATGTTATTACTTGGGCTTTTTGACAAGCTTCAATTGTAATTGGGCTTTGTGTCCTCCCTTTCTACTTATCAGGCCTTGTGTCTTATATGAAAGGGTTCAGCATTTGAGAAAGGAAAATAAAAACAATACGGTGAAAACAGCGAGGATTGATGGTGTACTAAAACAATACGGTGCGTTAGATAACATCTTCTCGCATTTTCGGATCTTTTTCTATCCAATCCAGATTCAGAGCATAATTGCCTGCTCTCTCTCGCTCTCAAATTTCGCGATCCATTCCATTCGATTCAAGGAGAACCACCCTGACTTGAACAAAAATCGTAACAGGTACTTCTTAATTTTCTGCACATAATCATCTCTCTCTATATTCATTCTCCTCGTAAACTACTACATCTTTTGGTCTGTTTTAATGTCATTGAAGATTTAATTTGCAGCTAATCATTGTTTGATTGATGATAAAGATGTTCTTACTGTATTTTGATGATTTTTTTAAATAATTGCTATTTTTTTGTTGCTTAATTATGATTAATGGATCTTTGCTCCACATCTTTATTGTTTGTTTTGTAGTTGCATTATTATTCATCGTAAATGGCAAACAGAGCTCAAATCCGAACTAACAACTCTGCACTCATTTCCATGATTGCCGATGAAGTAAGAGAATCCATTAATTTCCTTAGTAGAAAAAAGAAATTAAACATTTGGTCAAGAGAGCTTTAACAAATTCAAGTATGTTCATCTGATAAGTTTTTCATTTGATGTAGGACACGATAGTTGGACTTTTGATGGCCGGAGTGGGTAATGTTGACTTGCGGAGGAAGACCAATTACCTCATTGTGGACTCCAGTATGTTCTTGAAATTTGAATGCTTTTTTCGCTTTCGATGCATCATTGTCCGAACATGGTTTACACCAATATCTAATTTCTATTGAACTTTTTTTTTTTTGGTGCTTTCTGTATTGATTCAGATATCTAATTAGAAAATTAATGAAACTAAATGGATAAACACATGAGCAACATTTCTTTCGAGGAGTGGAGTTGCTTGACTAAAAGGTTGGGTAAAAAAACCACATAGAATTTCTGATTCACCATTTGGCAAGGAGAAGCACTGGATTTGGACTAGATAAATTAAAATGCGAGGGAATACCATGTTTCTAGTCTTTGTTGAGGCAGATATAACTTTTCAGGGAATCAATCTTTGTGGTTGAATATAGCTATGTTGTTGTATACTTGTCACATAAATGTTAGGGCATACATTTAAATTTTTGGCTTCTTCATGGTGAATTATTGAAACTGATGTCAGCATCATATCCTTCTGCTTGGGTTCCTTTTCTTCCTTTTGAAAGTGATTCTGTTTCCATATCGCATTACTTCCCCACCCTCAAACCAAAAATAAAAAAATGGAACCACCATTGTGAACTCCACAGGGATGCTTATCATGACCAGTTGCTAAAAGGGGAGAAAGAGAAGATCATATGAAAACTAGCGGTTAATCATAGGTTTATAACATTGTCATTATCCCTAGGCAGGTCATCATGTCTAAATCATCTTTATACCTCTACAGCTCAGACTCCAAGTTTCAAGTTAATGCATTACTTATGTGTTATTCATGGAACGAAAGAGCTTACCATTTACAAAAGAACTTTGATTTGATAATGTTCAGTGTGATTGCCAATAATGTATGGGATCCTGATCCAAGGCTGGAACATTTATTGACATTTGACAGATTCAAACCTCAGTTTTTCTCTCTTTCCTTACCCATCAAATAGAGAGTTGTGTTCAGTATGGATATTGTTTTGCCGAAATGCTATTGTTGATGCTAATGTCTTTTGCTTATGAAAAATATTCATCATGCTTCTTAGAAACAACTGTTAAACAAGTTGAAGATGCATTTAAAGAGTTCACGACAAGAGAGGATATAGCCATAGTGTTGATAAGTCAATATGTAAGTTGTTTCTTGAACTCGTGGTCATTTTAAATAATTGTTTCATTTATTACAGATGCATTTGTTGATTAAACTGTTTCTTGTTGAATACTTGTTACATTTAACTACTCAATAGTTCAAAAGATTCTCCAATCTTTTGCATTTGAAGCATAAGAGTTGCGCGATAGCCCTTTCCTTCTTTCTTGTTCTGATTCAAAGTCAATGGAAGCAATAGTCTTTCAAAGCCATCTTTTCCAGTTATGATGCTTAGAGGAACCATGAGTCTAAGACATTTGTCAAGTACCGTATTGATTAAATTGTTAGTGCTCATCTGGTTTTGGGTTGAAGCTGTTCTGTCTTCCTATGTGTGAACATTTGGATGCTTAATGTTTATGGGCTTTTTCAGCAGCATCCTCTATTAAACTAATGAAATTTTGATCAAACATGCGATACCTGGTTTGGGGTGGTGCCTTGATGAGTAGCTCACTTAGCTCCGCATCTGTTCTAGGTACCCTTGTAGATTTAGCATCGCTCTACTGCATTGGTCTGGAAGGGTACTTAGTTGCTCTGATGCTCACCTTCATTTTTGTGGCCCATCTTCATCTTAATTATAAGTCATATACATCACAGGAACTATTTGGGTGTGGGATTTTAGGACTTTGATCATCAACTCTGTCTGCTTTTCAATTTCACTTTTCTTCATTCCCCCTCCTTCATTGAATCAGTTTTTTGATCAATCTCTAGGCATCTCTCGATCGATGTTAGAAATTAGCTTTTTTTTGCCTTTGCTCTTGATTCGATTCGGAATTCTTAATTAGAAGGTAACTGTTTCCTTCTCTGATTTTCAGGTTGCAAACATGATAAGATTTTTGGTTGATAGCTACAACAAGCCAGTTCCAGCAATTTTGGAGATTCCTTCAAAAGACCATCCTTACGATCCAACACAAGATTCAGTTCTTTCAAGAGTGAAGTATCTCTTTTCTTCTGAATCAGTGGCATCTGGAAGGCGTTAAGCAGAGATACGAAGCTTATGCTCATTTGTTGTTCAGTGCTTTATCCCCCTTCCTCAGCTGTATATTGTGGAATAGCTCTCTTTACTGCTTGCTGAAGTCGTTTCTCTTCCTGGTTTTATCATTATACTGTAATTGAAATTTGGGGGTGTTTTTTGATGGAATACTTGGAATAAATCATTCTTAGGAGTGACATGGAACAACTTTGATCGCTATGCTACATAATTGAATGCCTTTTGTTTAATGTTCGTCGCCTCACAATGTTTGTCAAACTGGCTAAACCCAAACTGAAATGACTTCCCCCTCCCCCAAACACATATATGCAAGGAGTAGGGTATCTGTGGGTATGTTTGGGCCATTTCTGATTGACGGGGGACATTTTGTTGTTTTTTTTTCTTTTGGAAAAGGTTCCAAATTTTGAGCTGAAAACTGTGGTTGTAAGTTTGCCAGTTTGGGGGATCCTGACTAGGGATAGAATCCATCTGATATCACTAAATCCGGTTGGATTTGATTTTCACCTGATTTTATTAGGATAAAAAATGTTGTGTAAAAATTTGATTTGGTTTCATTTAGGTCGGATGCAGAGTGAAGTGTTCGCTTGTCTTAATCATATTTTAATTATTTTTTAAATATTTTTTATTAATATATATAATTTCTATAAAATTAACCTAATTAAAAATAAATTTTACTTTATAAATAACATAAGATCTTTTCTTTAATTTTTTTAATATATATCAATTACAATTTCGTATTGCAAATCTTATAAAAATCAATCTAAGTTCCAAACTTTACTTTATAATTAAAGTAAATTAGTATGAACACATAAGTATAATGATAATTAAATACTATTAATTAAGAATATATAAAATCAACATGTTAATGTTCTTTATCAAATAATGTATGATATAAGTTAGGTAGTTAATGTATTTTTTCAAAATATATAGTATAAATAAATTTAATAAATAATGCACACATAACACTATCTTTATGATTTTAAAACATAAAAGAAATCTGGAATGATTTTTATACATAATCATACTAGTCATTAATAATTTACTAATTAGTACACATTATTAGTGATGTTTAATGACATAATTCTATAATTTTAAATCATATATAGTATTAACGTTTTCAATGTGATTTAGAATTGGAAAAATAAGATTATTGAGTATGTGAGATTCTAAAAAACAAACAAATAAATTAGGATGTGATCTTATGGGATGAAGCTGAATGTTTCGCTCTTTCTTGAAGACTTTCCGCCTGCACTGGGAGCTATCGATATATAGGTCTTCTAAGCACAAGCTTATGCCAGAACAATGAAATGAACTTCGACGAATCGTAGGAAAGGAGTGGGAATATTGACAAGGCAGTTTGAAATGTAGATCAATGGTAGCCCTAGTCTTTTCCTCACCTTAAAAAGGAAAGCCAATTGGTGCTTCGGAAAGTTTTGTTTTGTTGAGTTTGAAGGGAATGCAGCTGGAAGAAAGCTACCGCTGACCTCCTTATACCTCAGGATTGACAGATAACAAAAACTGACGGATTTTCCATCAAATTTACAGTGCCCCGGCAGTAACTTAGAAGTGCTTGAGGTGTTAAAGACACTGGCAATATCCAAGCTAGTAAACAACAAGATTCATTTTTATTCAATTGCAACGCATATGGCTGTTGAAAATAAGAGTTACAAGCTTTCATTTGGTCCAACAAAATTGTTTTCAAGGAAGCGCAGCTTTTAAAGATTTGGTGAAACTCTCTAGTGCCTTCAATCCTTCCTCGGGAGATTTTGCTTCACCCAACAGCTTCACCATGGCACTACCAACAATGACACCATCGGAACCCCATCCTGCTATCTGTTACAAAACTTAAGCAATAAATTCCAAACTAATGCAGCATCAAGACAATCTACAGGGACATCAAGTTGTGTTGTGTTGAAGACTAACCTGCTTGACATGCTCTGGTTTTGATATGCCAAAGCCAACAGCTACAGGCTTGGTTGTTGCCTGTCATAAAAAGAAGACAGAAATGAGGGATGTTTGATACCATTTACTAAAAGAAATCCTGAATTTCGGGGAACTAGCCACTAATTGTCTCAATGCCACCTATCAAGAGAGTGCCCTGCGAAAGAAATCTGATTATAAAGACAAACCTCTTTAATATCCTGGAGAAGGGTTTGAACTTTGTCACTTATGGAAGCACGAGCACCAGTTACCCCAACTGAGCTCACCTATAATACCAGAAGAAACGGAAATGTCATAAAAGATGGCAAACCGCAGAGTACTTCTTCTTTGTTCATATTAAAAATCAACTACAATTTTGATGAAAGATGAATCAACTTCTGAAATTCTCTTACAAGATACACAAATCCATCTGCTGCTTCAACAATGGCTTTCATTCGTTCTGTTGGAGTAGTGGGTGTCGTAAGAAGCACCTGTGCATAACCAAGGTGCAAACATAAGACAAGTGAACACATGATAGCAGCTTATCTTTCATGAGTTACTCCACACATAAGCTTGACAATTCAAAAGGAAAATTGCAAGAAAACCAATACAAACCACCAAAAGGTACCCTACTTCAATTATCATTCAACCAAAAATGATTTATTTATGAAAACCAGCAGACGTCATCAAAATAATAATGATAGGTAAGGGTATTGATTTAGATCAATAATACATTAACACATCACAAACGACTGAATTTTTCCAAAAAGCAAAGGAAGGGTCCCCTTTTTCTTTTTATAACACTATCACCAACTCTACAGTCAACTGTTACTAGCAAATGAGTTTTCATTTTCTTTTTTTTTTTTTTTTGGCGAAGCAAAAGGAAATGAATTTTTGTATATGTAAAAAAAAATAAAAAATCTAAAGGGTAATCAATATGAATGGACAAAATGGAAATACATTAACCAGAAATCTGATAAAAACAGACCAGTTCAAGCTTATTCTTGACAGCTTCCTTCTTCAGAACTTCAGTCTCCTCCAAAGGAACATCTGGGACCACAAGTCCTGCAAAACCATTATAGGGGATTGCATATAGTAATGCAATACAACACCCAGAATTCACAAAAAAATAACTGGAGAAACAAAAATCTAGTGATGTGCACGGTGATCCTCATTTCCCACGTCGTTCGGGCATGATAAAGATATTAAAATAAGCAGTTAGGTGCTGCAAAATAAACCTGTCATTTACCATGTATGCCAACGTCTTTTACTGTGGACATAAACTTCCCAATTCCACGCTTTAGAATTGGATTGTAATATGTAAATAAAGCAATTGGACAGGATACTTGTGGAACCACCTGTGCAGTCAACAGTTGAATCAACACAAGGAAAGTCAAATAAGAAAAGAAACTGGTAACAAAGTTGTAAACGGGGATACTATATGTTTATGATATGAGCACTCACTTCTTCACTTAACTATGAGCATGTGCCCACGTATAAAATGCTATGCTGAACTAGGGTTTTCAAGCAAACTATCTTAATTGCAAACTTTGCAATTAATAGCATGACAAAAGGAATTGTGTAATGAGAAAATTTTCAGTAGTTATCAATCCAATAATTTTATCTCAGTCTCAGCACGGTAGAAAGATAGCATTTTAATATAATGGCCTAACCTCCTTTAACATTGATGTGATTGCTTCCAAATTGGTCCCTCTAGCCAAGGAGCGTGTAGCTGCCGCCTAAATCAAGAGACTCCAATAAGAAAATTGAAATGAAGATTCATCCAAAGGGCAACCACAATATAATCATACCTGGATAACTGGACCATCTGCCAAAGGATCAGAGTAAGGAACGCCCAATTCAATTATGTCAGATCCACAGGCATCCAGCACCTTCAAGGCTTCTGCTGTGGTTGAAAGATCAGGATCGCCGGCTGTGATGTATGGGATGAGCGCCACCTTCACACACAAGCATGCTCATCAAAACAACATTATGAGAAATCAATAATATTTCTTTTCACCGGCTTACCCCCACCAGATAAATTCCCAAACCAAAACTCTCGATCCAATCCCCTCCTCACAACCTAAACCCCGCAAATAATTCCAATCTATGTAAAAAGTCGTTTCATCTGCTAATACTATAAATTCAATACAACTGAGCTCCTCTTTCCCCATCTTTACTTATCACATAGCCAACACTGAACTCAGCAGAATTTTTTTACTCGATAAAGATATTAGCACAAAGAGACTCCTCTGTGCAGCTTCCGTCTCCACTAGTGGAAGAGTTGAGTAAATACAGTCAATAAGGAAAAAAAGAGAGGCAAATTGCCAAAACCACAAAAATATCCAAGTCAAACCTCATTCAACATGTTAGCAAAATCAATCAACTCAAATGAGAAAAAAAAATAAAGGAAAAAAATCAAATGCCCCTCAACTAGCATAACAAAACCCATATACAACAAAAATTTACTAAGGAGGTGGTGCTTACTTTGCCTTGTCTTTTGAGATTGGAGAATGTTTCACTAATACTAAGACTTCGGGTAGCAGCGATAGAAGCCATTGGAACGAACCTTCTGGTTGAGATGAATATGGGTTTATGACGAATGAGGAAATGGGTATCTGGTTTCTTCGGTTGGAGGAAGGAAGGACTTGATTTCAGGGCAGCAGCCATTACTCGCACTACACAACAAAATGATATTTTGACACAAAAGGTTTGGTGTGTGTGCGGGAGGGCCTAAGGGGCTGTGCTGTGATACGGTTTTTCTAGTGTTTTTTGAAGGGTTTTTCTTTTTACAGTGAATAGAGATTCGATTGTGTTCAATATATAAGGACTACTAGTGCTTCTTGTTTGTCTCGGGTTATCGGAAACCTCGAATTTTATCAGTTCCTGTCCAAATCCTGATGATGTGACAACTAACCACTGAAGGATTGTTATTTGGAAATGATATGATGTCTGACCTAAACAAGGAAAGGTTAGACCAGTGATTCCGATTCGGTTTCTCTTGTGGCTTTTGGTTTGTCCAATTTTATTTTTTAGTAGAGTTTTCTTAGGAGGAGTCTATAATTTTTTTTTTTTTTTTTTTTTAACGAAAATCTGACATTCGAGCTCGATCGTTTTTACCAATAGAAGTTCCATACGTTACTCTCATGTCAACAGCCAGAAAACATCAGCAAAATAAATTATAAATTTGAGATTTCTAGGTTTCGAGCTGAAATTCTGGGATGGTAAAAATGGTGGATAAGAGAGTTTTTCCCACAAATTCGAACCCACGTCTATATGGCTTCCGTCAAAGCCAATGAGAAACAAAAATCAAGTAAAATAAAGGCAAAGTGAGTCCTGTGCAAATCTAATTGTTGAAAAGTCTAGTTTATTTTAGGGTTACAGTATAAAAAAATACAAATTCTATATTTTTTTTAATTATATTAGCACGGTATTTTCAATATTTGATAAAAAATATATATAAATGAAAATTTTCTTAATTATATTAACTAGTGTAATTTTTTCGAGTCAAAATTTCGCTAACATCTGAGATGGTAGAGAATTTTAGTTTTTATTATAAATATTTTTCTCTTGTCATACTAGATATTAACAAAATTTTAACCTAAAAAAATTACATATACTAATATGATTAGTAGAAGTTTAATTTATATACTTTTAATTTAATATTAAAATAATATGCTAATAAAATTATAAAATATAAAATTTGTGTTTTTTTAACAACAAATCTTTATCTTTTTTTTTTAACACTTGAAAAACTTAGTTCCATTTCTCTCTTTATCCATTATATATCAAAAAAGGATAGCCTCATCACGTCAGCGACTCATGATTCATTATGATTTATATCAGACGCGGCGCATGGCCTTTAAAAACAACAATGAAAAGTCATCGATATCCATATTTCATCTAAGCCATCATGCTAAAAAATTATCTCAACTAAAAAACTTAAATACATAAATAAAATTTTAAAAAATAATTTTATATTATTTTTTAACATGTTATTTTAAATGAAATATTTTTAAGTTTAAAATTTACACAAATATACTACTATTTTATATTTAATTTAAAAAAAAAAGAAATTATGAAATTTGAATATATGACTATCGAATAATTAAGATTTACGTATTAACGTAAAAAATTATTTTATCAAAAAAGTTTAAGTTTATAGATAAATCACTAAAAATAGTTTTATATTAGTTGGTAAGAGGTAACATCCCTTAAATGAGTAATCCTAGTTAAGGAAAAAAAATATATATATATATATATATATCAGGTGGGGGAAGAAGAAGGCGACATTTGCGTATCTCGGCCAGATGCAGCGTTCTTCAAATGAAGTGTGTATGTAGGTGTATTTGAGGATTATTGATGAGATTATTTACTACATATGCATGCATGTACATGATCCATGTTTTACAAAGAGTGGTCTTAGTCTTATATTAGTTGTCTGCTCACGTTATGCTGCAGACCTGATTGAATAAAATTATTTTAAAATGTTTTAATTATTTTTAATATTTTTTATAAATTTTTTACTTAAAAAAAAACATAAATCATTCTTCGTTATGTATTGAATTTAAAATATATATATATATATATATATATATATATATATATATATATATATATATATATATATATATAATAATTTAAACTTAAATATTAGTAAAGAATTAAAAAAATTTTAAAAACATATTTTTTTTAATATTGTGTTTCGAAAGATAGAGTTATAATTAATGGATAGACTTTTATAAAAATTAATAAATAAAAAAATTCTTATTTAATGCCGATAAAAAGATTAATTTTGAAATTATCTGCGGAATGTTACAAGCAAATAGAACAAAATCATTTAAAAATTTTATAATTTTTTCATTGATTTTTTATTTAATTATTACTTTTTTTCATAAAATTTCTTCTTAAAAAGCATTATTTATTCTTCTTTATTCCGAGATTTTTAAATAAAAACTTATAATAATTTAAACCAAAAATATTAATTAAGAATTCAAAAACAAATACTTTATATATTTTTTTATATATATATAAGAATGTTTCCAAAAAGTAAAGTTACAATTAATGTATAAACTTGTATAAAAATTAACTAATGAAAAAGATAAAATTTTATTCTTATTTAATTTTGGTAAGAAGATTATTTTTTAAAAGTATATGCATCTAATCTTTATATACTTATTTACGAAATAATCAATAAAATTAGCATAAGAAAACTATATTTGAATAATTGGTTGGTTCCTTTAAAAAATTATTTTAATCATTTTATTTCAAATAAATTGGTTATATAATGTTAAAAAAAATATTCGTAGTAAATAATTTGTATTATGTTGGAAATAGTTAATTTTTAATAAAAATAATAATTCAATAGTTTTTTTATACGTCTTTACCATATGTAATGAACTGAGATAAATTATTTGAAATACATTTTTAACTTTTTAGAATTATATATATATATATATATATATATATATATATATATATATATATATATATATATATATATATATGCAACTATCATTTAAAAATTCTAATAATTCATTATATATATTATACTAATTTATATTTTTTAAAAAATTATGTTTTAAAATTTTATTCTAAAATTCAAACATAAAGAAAACTTAATTATATTTATCGATAAATAAAATTTTATATAAAAAATATTAATTGGATGAAAATTTTCATAAAAAACAGTAAATTCAAATAATAAAATTTAAATAACAAGAGTAATATAAGCTGAAGTATATGTTAATTTTAATACACACACACGTTGCGTGAAAATAAAAGAAAAATTAAAGTCGATGATTGAAAACAATATTACAACATGAGGGACAAAATAGAAAAAAGTGTTAAATTTGCATATTAATGCCCAAAAACAAACATAAAGACCACACACAAAAATTACTTAAATTGCCATAAAATAAATAGTAATTTTATGTATATGAAGAGTAAGGAGGTATTTGATAACCTAATTAAGTAGCTTAAAAAATTAAGTTGTACTTGCTTAATATAAAAATCTTCTTTGATAACTTAAATGATCTCATATTAAAATTTTAAGTTTAGTTAAAATCTACTTAATCGGATAAGTTAAAATTTTTAACTTATCCGATTAAGTCAAACTATCTAAAACATACTCTCTCTCTCTCTCTCTCTCTCTCTCTCTCTCTCTCTCTCTCTCTCTCTATATATATATATATATATATATATATATATATATATATATATATATATATCGAATTTATAAATTATAATAATATATTTTTAAAAAATAAAACATCGACGTTATAAAATTTTATTCCAAAATTCATATATTAAAAAATAAAATTTATTAACAAATAAAATTATATCAAAAATTAATTTGATGAGAATCTTAGTAAGAAAAAATAATTGAAAAAAATAAATTTTAAACAATAAGAGTGATGTAATCAAATATATATGTTCAAACTAAAATCTTAAAAAATATCATATATATTCTATCATCTTCAAACGAGCTTATTATATTCGGTACTTAATTTTCGGTAAATACCAAACAACTTGTCGGGAACATATTCAATACTTAACGGATTCGACACTTAAAATTCGGTACTTAATAGATTCAGCACTTAATTTTCAGTTTTATCAAACACCACCTAAGTGAATAAAAATTTTAGACATATGAATAGTTTGGATTCTCGTGCTACGTTATAGACCGAACTAAATATATTTATTTTAGTTTGATAACATATACCATGTTATCGATTAATGAAAATATATTAAATTAAATATAAAAGATAAAGTTTCATCTAGTTTTAAAATTTTTAATCAAAATTTTGTATATGTGCATATTTTTTTATGTTTTGAATAAATTTTGAAGTCAAAAAAATACGATTTGTTCTTTTTTATGTATTTATTCTTAAATAAAAAACCCATAATAAACAAATTTTACTCGTAAATTTTAAAAAAATTCCTTAATATTTTTTTTATACTTTGTCAAATTTTAAAATGATAGAATAATTTAAGGAGAAATTTCTTTACAACAAAAGATGAAAAAATGTAATTTAGTATTCGGACATATCATCAATTAATAGAGAAATTGATGAAAGTATTTGATTGAAAGTTTTAAAAAAGTTGATGTACTCAATCTAAAAAAAATTAAACTTCATGTACTTCATTGAAAAAATAAGGTAAGATTATAATTTTTTATTTTGAGAATAATGGACATGTCATGAGTTAATGGAAAAATTGATGGAAGTACTTGATTGACAATTTTGAAAATGTTGATGTACTAAAAAAAAAAAAATTCTATGCTTGATTGAGAAAAGATTGAAAGTTAATATATTTATGCTGTAATTATCCCAAAAAAAATAATGAAAGTACTTGATTGATATTTTTGAAAGAAAAATAGTTTACTCAAACAAAAAAAAATAATAAAAATAAAATTCATATATTGGATTGAAAAAAAGTACTAAAAGTTAGTATGCTCATAGTGCAATTATTTATTAAATTTTTATTGTTCATAAAATAAAATAATAATTTTTAAATTAAAGAAAATGAAATTATGTTTGAGTATTTATTGAATTTTTAAGAAAGGATCTTTAGTTAGTGATAATAGTCAAACTTAATGAAAAAACAATATTTATCCAAAATACGATAGTCGAGAAATATAATTGACCGTGCATGTCCGCTTTAATGTA